TGCTAGAGAAGGAGGTGACTATGGCGCCTGAGCGGCGCGAGGAGATCAAGCACGTGCTGGCCGTGCTGGACGAGTACGGTGCAGAGGAGTTGGACGGGAAGTTGAAGGAGTTCGGCGTGAAGGCGCCGGACACGAAGAACGACCTGTCTGCTCCATACCCATTCAACCTCATGTTTTCCACCGCTATTGGCCCCACGGGGTTGTTGCACGGGTGCGTGAGAGGCTGAGCGGGGCTGACATGTGAATGGTTGGCACTATGGAGTGTTCGACGTCAGGTGCTCACATTTCATGCTCCAAACTTGACTCTCTCTTATCCTTTCTTCCCCCTCTCTTGCTCCTCCCCACCAGCTACCTGTGGCCCGAGACAGCGCAGGGCATATTCGTCACCTTCAAGGACCTGCTTTACTACAACGGTGGCAAGCTGCCCTTCGCTGCTCCCCCACTCTCCCCATCTTCCCCCCCCCCACTCCCCCACTCTCCCCATCTCCCCGCCCCCCCCCACTCCCCCACTCTCCACCGATCCCACCAGCTACCTCCGTCCTGAAACAGCGCAGGGCATATTCGTCAACTTCAAGGAATTGCTGTACTACAACGGCCCTCATTCCGCATTGACTTGACTGCTCTCCCACTCCATCCCTCTCCCCATCCCCTTCCCCCATCCCCCTCAGCTACCTGCGGCCCGAGACAGCGCAGGGCATATTCGTCAACTTCAAGGATCTGCTGTACTACAACGGTGGCAAGCTGCCCTTCGCTGCTGCTCAGATCGGCCAGGCCTTCCGCAACGAGGTGCGCTGCTGGCGGGTGTGATGCTGGCGGGTGTGATGCTGGTGGGTGTGGTGCGGGGGGGGGTGTCGTGCGTCGCCGGGAGATGTGGTGCGCTGTTGTGATTGGGGCGTGAGCAGGGCTGCTGTCATTGTGATGTGAGCCCCATGAACGTGATGTGAGCCCCATGAACGTGATGTGAGCCCCATGAACGTGATGTGAGCCCCATGAACGTGATGTGAGCCCCATGAACGTGATGTGAGCCCCATGAACGTGATGTGAGCCCCATGAACGAATCCCGCCTGCCATTTCAACGCCTTCGCGCACCTCTCGTTCCTTGTACCAACCTTCCCCATCCCAACCCCCCCGCACACGTCCCCACAGATCGCCCCCAGAGCGGGGCTGCTGCGAGTGCGTGAGGTCACGCTAGCAGAGATCGAGCGCTTCGTGAGCCCCACGGACAAGTCCCTCCCTTATCGCACCCCGTCCCCTTCCTTGCACCACTCATCCCCAACCCCACTGCTCCCCCAGATCGCCCCCAGAGCGAGTCTGCTGCGAGTGCCTGAGTTCACGCTAGCAGAGATCACTTTGTGAGCCCCGTTGACAAAGTCGAAACCCCCCTCCCTTCTTGCCCCCAACCCTTGCGTGCATCTCTCCAGATTGCTCCCCGAGCTGGGCTGCTGCGAGTGCGCGAGTTCACGCTAGCGGAGATCGAGCACTTTGTGAGCCCCGCCGACAAGTCGCACCCGCGCTTCTCCTCGGTGGCCGACCTCTCCTTCCTGCTCTACCCACGCGCGGAGCAGCTGGGACCCAAACAGCCCGTCACCATGCGGCTCGGGGATGCTGTGGAGAAGGTACGAAGCTCAGACTGCGAGCGGATTAGCTTGGGCCGAAATAGGCCATTACGATGCGACTAGGAAAATGCTGTTGAGGGGAAAGCCGTTGAGGCGGTGTGGAGAGGAGAAACGCCTTGTCGTCTCGCTTGGGGATGCTGCCCACTCGATGGCAGGAAAGGAAAACAGTATACGGCAGCTTATTGCGGGCATACCACCTACACCCACGTTCCTCTTCCTATTTCTCCTCCAGACTGGCAATCTTCAACCTCCTGTCTCAACCCCCAATTCCCCTGCTCCCCACTATCTGTTATCAGGGCATAATCAACAACGCGACTCTCGGGTACTTCATCGGGCGCACGTTCCTCTTCCTCTCGCGCCTGGGCATCGACCCGCAGCGCCTGCGCTTCCGCCAGCACCTGCAGCACGAGATGGCGCACTACGCCACGGACTGCTGGGATGCTGAGATCGAATGCTCGTACGGCTGGGTGGAGTGCGTTGGTCTGGCAGATCGCTCTGCCTTCGATCTTAAGGCGCACACGGTGAGTAGGTTTGCTTCAGCTCTGGCAGCACCTGCCTGCAGCACCTGCAGCACGGGATGCTGAGACTGAATGCTCTTATGGATGGGTGGAGTGCGTTGGTCTGGCTGACCGCTCCGCCTTCGACCTCAAGGCGCACACGGTGAGGGTTGAGAGTTGAAAGCAGCACGAGAGCGGGCTGTTGATGCAGGTTAGTCGGGCAGCTGTTGCACCTGCAGCGCCCCTAGCAGCACAGGCAGCACCGCCAGCACCTGCAGCAGGAGATGCCACGGACTGCTGGGATGCTGAGATCTAATGCCCTTTATATGTGGGTGGAGTGCGATCGTCTGGCGGTAGGTCTGCGTTCGACCTCAAGGCGCACACGGTACGGCTTTGGAATGCAGTGAGCTTACATGGCGAGGGTTGATAGCACAAGTGTGGCTGTTGGTGGAACACAGTAAGGGAGTAACACCGTCCATTTCTCTGCTTCCCTGTTTTTCCCCACACTCTTAGAAAACTTCGTCTCCCCCCCTCCTGCTCACTCTCACCAACTGGAGAAGAGCAAGGTGGAGCTGGTGGCGTATGAGAAGTTCCCAGAGCCCAGGGAGGTGGAGGTCAAATATGTCATCAAGTCACCACTGCCCATCCTCACTTTCCTCCTTCCCCCTGCCATTGACGCACGTGAACAGGAGAAGAGCAAGGTGGAGCTGGTGGCGTATGAGAAGTTCCCCGAGCCACGTGAGGTGGAGGTGATGAGCATCGTGCCCAGCAAGAAGGACATTGGTAAGGCCTTCAAGCGTGATGCCAAGCTCATTGCTGAGTCGCTGGAGGCAATGACGGAAGCAGAGGCACTGGCGATGAAGGCAGCGCTGGAGGCGGATGGCAAGGTGGAGTACACTCCGTGTGGGGGCAGCCAGGCGTTCAGCCTCAGCAAGGAGATGGTGGCCATCAGCAAGGAGAAGAAGAAGCTGCAGGTGGGATGAAGGGCATGAGAGGAACGTGGTGCAGGGGAGTGGGGTATGAGGTGGAGTACGCACCATGTGGGCGGGGGGCCACAGGCGTTCAGCCTCAGCAAGGAGATGGTGGCCATCAGCAAGGAGAAGAAGAAGCTGCAGGTGGGGTGGGGTGAAGGGAGTGATGAGGAGATGAGTAGATGAGAGCAGCTTGGGTTTTTTTCCTTCTCCTTTTTTCAAGAGTCCTCCCTCCCTGCTCTGCCTGAAACTTTCTCACGCAATTCCGCCTCACTCTGTACTCCTGCCTCACCACAACCTACCCCGCTCTTCCTTCCCACCGTCCCCTCCACCCTCTCCCCCTTCCTCCCTCTCCCTCACCTTTCCCCCTCCCCATCCCGCTCTCCTTCTCCCCAACTTTCCAGGGCCAATCCTTCACCCCATCCGTAATCGAGCCGTCGTTTGGCATAGGGCGCATCATCTACTGCATCTACGAGCACAGCTTCTACTCCCGCCCCTCCGCCGACGAGGCGCGCACAGTCTTTCGCTTCACACCGCTCGTGGCGCCCATCAAGTGCACCGTCTTCCCGCTCGTGCAGCGCGGGGACCTTGAGAAGGTGGCGCAGGAGGCGAGTGCAGGGCTGACCAAGGGAGGCGTGGCGAATAAGATTGACACCACGGGCACGACGATTGGGAAGAGATACGCACGGACGGATGAGCTCGGGTGCCCGTTTGCGATTACGGTGGATGGGCAGGTGAGGAGGGTGGGGGCAAGGATGGAGTGTTTGGTGGGTGGGGAAGAGGGGTATTGGTTGCATTTTGTCTCCATAAATCTCCATTTTGTCTTGGTTTTGTTTTGTCTCACCATTTCTCCTGTTTGCTTTTCATTTTCCCCACGTCGTGAATGGCAGACTCTGGAGGATGGCACCGTGACTCTACGGGAGCGTGACAGTACAGCGCAGGTGCGCATTCACAAGGATGAGGTGGCATCGGTGGTGCGCCAGCTGGCGGATGGGCTGCTGGTTTGGACGGATGTGCAAAGCAAGTACCCGGCTGTTGCCCAGAAGGAAGCATGAAGAATTGGACTTCTGAGTGCAATGTGAAAGGTGGTGAAGATATACCGAGTAAATACGATGGACTTTTCTTTATGATCGATAAGTGTGCCAAATGTTGTTCTGAGTTATTTAACATTACGCTAGGATGATTTTAATTCGGTGATATGCTTCACCCTCTTTAGAAATAAGGAAACGAGTACGAATAGCTGTATGGGTACTGGTTTTCCACAATTAAAGTTTTCGCTCAATCGAGGTAAACTTTAATGCGAACGAATCCTGGACATTCCCGGAGGCAGGCTACAGTACGAACTGTCAGCGTAATCGTGACGCAGCCGGGAGCTCTTCCCAGTGTGACAGTCTGACAGATTTCGCAGTGTTCCTCACCTGAGCCCGAGTTCAGCTCTCCCATGGTTAAACTCCTGCACTCACTGTCGACCTAGATTCAAGTTCATGAAGCCCACGCCAGCATTCTCGTCGTCCCAAACCAACATGTTCGCTACGGCGTTCTAGAACTTCAAGCCTGAGAGCATGATTTACAGGGTCCTGCATTTGCATAAGTATCCCATCGTTCAGCGTTTTCATGGAGTTACAGCCATTGCCTTCCTAGGAAGCATAATCTCAGGCACATCCACGCATCGTCGGAGCTCTGCGTGTGCGTCGGATTTCAAGGTTGCTTATTTCGAATTCTAGAAAATCCATTACCTGTTTGCGAAACCCGTTTGCTGGGTCACAAGCCTGAATCAACAATCCTGGTTTTTTCTAGGTCCTGAATCAGGTTGTTCGCAAGCTCAACGGAGTGAATGCCGTCTTACCGGTCTTAATGAGTAAGAGAGTAGAGCTGGGATAGTCTAATCGCCCGAACCACTCTGCAAGTAAGCTGACATGGCAGGACGCGAGCGGATCGAAGTCCCTGGTGCTGCCACGTCAGCCTCCATGAATCGACCTGGGCGATCATGCGTGGTAGTGAGGGATCTGATCGGGTCGCACGTGACATTGGAGGCGACGTGCGACATGCGAGTGGGCGATGCGAAGCGAGTCGCTGCTGGAGCAATGAACAAGGACGCGTCCCTTAAACATGTCATCTTCCATAAAGTAGGTCCTATTGATGCCGTTCTATTCCCCTGCTGCTTTAGTGTTTCGATCATTTACCGAGTAGTATACTAGTACAGCCAGATCGACGTTTTCTTTTGTTTTTTACCATTATCTTTGGGGGTTCTTCACCGGCAATGTTGATCTCGATGCGTCACATGCTGTCCTGGCTGCATGGCTTGCCTTCATTGTTCACCTTTCCACCGTTTTCACTGGTTTCTCTAACCTTATTCACCCCTCTTGCAGGGATCTCGCCTCAAGGACTCCACCCGATTGGTCGACATTCCCGGCCTCCTCCAGCCTGGATTTGCCACGTCAGCATCTGCCAGCGCTTTGACGCCAGGGACCCCATCTATCCGTGCTGGCAGCTCCACCCCCATGAATGGCGGTTTCCATGGCGAGCCTCATGCTTCTTCTGGCGCTGACCCCAAAGTCTGTGGCTCTGAGTCTGCACCCGCAGACGCTTTCCTGGTTCTGATGAGCTTTCAGCGCAAGGAGCAGCGCCAGATGGGTCCTGTGCTGTCGTCGCAGCACGGGGGAACGCCGCGCTGTGCCGCTGCTGCCACGTCATTGACTGGTCCACGTGGCACCGGCACAGCCGTTGGGTCTCCTCGCCTTCCGAATTCTATCCCGTTTTCGCCATCTGCTCATCCCCCACCTCCTTGCATTATTCCATCTAATCAGCGATTGTCTCCAAATGGCAGAGCTCAGAGTAACGCTGTTGCTGCAAACAAGGGATGTGCAGTAGATGTGGTGGAGCAGCGGGTCAGTAGCAACCCTCCTGAACCGACTGCACCAAGGAAGGATGGCGGGGTGCGGCGGACTGAGTCTACTGAGATTGATAATGGCAGTCAGACGATGAAGGATTATCTTCTGTCGGGTGCAGCCTGCAGCAGAGAAGGTCTGGCATCCGCTCGTTCGGCGTCGGCCCCACCATCTCCTCCACCGGAGGGAGTACCAGTGCTGGGACGGCCATCAGCATCGCCACCAGCGCCAGCAGCACCGCCACCATTGCCAGAATTGCCACGACTGCCGCCATCGCCAGCAGCATTACCAACCCCTGCAGCACCAATCTGGCCCGCCTCCCCTCCTCGCTACCTGCCCTTCCATGCTGCTCGTACACGTCAGCTCGGTTCACCTAGCACTGACGTGGCCAAGGGCACGGTGGCAAGGGATTGTGGGGAGCATGCTAGCAGTGGGAGACAACAAGGCATAGGGACAGTGGGGCATACAGCAACCCGTGCAGGCATTGGGAATGGCGTTACTGACGTAAGGGATGGTACTATTAACACAAAGAATGGACGTATGGACAAAGGGAATGGTGGTACTGACCTCATGGATGGGTCAAGCATGGGGGTTGATAATGACATGGAGAAGGGCGGTATGGGGAGTAAGGTGGAGAGGCGAGTGGGGCGGAAGAGAAAGGCAGAGAGGGAGGAAGAGCAGGCAGCAGGCAGGGCGGGGTTGCCTCACAGCGTTTCCGTATTGGACAGCAAGTTTGGGCTGCTCGCTGCAGTGTACGGGTTCTTGGAACAGCGGACAGTCAAGGTGTGTACTTGTGTGTGTGTCAGTCAGTGTGTGTCTCAGTCATTGTGTGTGAGTCAGCGTTCCCATGCTGGACTGCAAGTTTGGACTGCTGGCTGCAGTGTATGGTTTCTTGGAGCAGTGGGCAGTCAAGGTGTGTGTGTGCTTCTTGAAGAATGAATTGTTAGCTTAGCATTTCTGCTGCATTTGACTGCCATGCCATGTGCTTTTCCTGACCCAGGAGATCCTTTGACTGTTGTCATGGTCACTCCCGTCTCACCATTCCTGTGCCCCTGTCATAACTCCAGGCCACGTGGAAGCGGCTGGAGGTCGCATTGAAGGACCTTGGGAGCAGCGCCGAGGGCGAAGCCGTTGCTCTGCAAGTGAGTTAGTGAGTGAGCGGGCGAGTGAATGAGGGAATGAATGAAGCAGTGAGTGAGTGAGGGAGTGAGCGAGTGAGTGAATGAGTGAGCTAGTGATTGAGTGGCAGTTCTGTATACACGTGTGACTGTGCGCTAAGGGTGATTGCTCCTGATTGTGTCTCTTGTGGTCAAGTGGCAGGCTCATGTGCTAGGTGGATGAGTGCGTGTGTTGTTGCGTCTGTTTGTCTGTGCCTTGCATGTACGACTGCCTGACGGTCATGGCAGGACATCAGGGACATGGCAGCACTGGCCCCTTCGGTGATTTGGACGTGGGAAGAGGAAGACGAGGAGGAGGACGAGGAAGGGAAAGTGGGGGGAAAGGTTGAGCCAGTGGAGGCAGGAAGAGGGAGTGATGGGGAGGAAGTGAGTGAGGGGAGTGAAGGGTGTTCAAGTCATGCGCGGGAGAAGGGAGCTGGCAGCTGCAGAGATGAAAGGGACCGAGGAGGAAGGGGAAGACAGGGTGGAAAACGGGAGGAGGGCGGAGTTGACGAGGGGCGAGAAGATCAGGGAAGGAGATGGGGGAAAGCACCTGTAACGGGAGGGGAGAAGGGGAGAGGAGATGGAGGTGCGCTGGTTGTGGTGGTGGGCATGTGGGACCCGTCTCGACCGCCAGAGCAGCAGATCAAGCGGGGAGGCATGCTGCTGCAAGGTGCGTGCTGGAAAGTTGTTTCTTTTTCTTCTCGCTTGTGTTGTGTGGACTCGCTGCTTTTCAGTCCCCATCGTCCCCCATTTATGTGGATTTTACTAATGAGAATTCTCAAAAGTAAAATCCACCTATGGTGTGTTTTCTTCTTGCTTGTGTTGTGTGGACTCGCTGCATTTCAGTCCCCATCGTCCCCCATTTTCCTCCAGGCACACAGCAGCGAACGCCGCGTCGCAGTGGTGTGAGGCTCGCAGACAAGAGGAGAGCCGCCTTCCACTCGGCACTCACTGCAGCCCTCCACCGCATTCACGCTGACTTCCTCGCCCACGTTCTCCCTCCTGCGCCTCTGTCACTTTCCCATCCCGCAATTTTCCCTCCAGGCACACAGCAACGCACGCCGCGTCGCAGTGCTGTCAGGCTGGCAGACAAGAGGAGAGCCGCCTTCCACTCGGCACTCACTGCAGCCCTCCACCGCATTCACGCTGACTTCCTCGCTCACGTTCTCCCTCCTGCACCTCAGTCGCAGCCCGCATCGCAAACCCACCCATCTGTGCCACAGTCGCGCCGTTCGGCCTCTCCTGTGGCTGCGGCTTCTGGCCAGGGCTTGCGAGGAGAGGAGAGCCAACACGGGGCAGCTGGTGCAGGGAAGGTGGGGAGCGAGGCGGTGCCGGGGGAGGGCGAGGACAAGGATGAGGATGGGGACGAGGATGCGGGCAGTACAGTGCAGAGAGAGAGAAGGATGAAGGGAAAGAGGCGCCTTAAAACAGCGGGAGATGTTGTGGAAGAGAGAGGTGGAGGGAAGGGGGAAGAAGCGAAGAAGCAGGGGCGTACTGGTGTGAAGCAAAGTGCGGACAGCATGGAATGGCATGCTGACTTTCCGCTCGAAGACATCTCAGTGTCGATGCTGCTTGCTGAAGCGGCCTCGTTCCATTCCTCTCAGTATACTGATAATCATACACATGCTGAGCTGGGGGGTGGTGGAAAGGGAGGGAAGGCGAAACAGCAGAGGAAGTCATGTATTGGGAGGCAGAGCAAGCAGCGGAGGAAAGGAGGGGCGGCTGGAGATGAGTCTGATAAGACTGGAGAGGTGGAGGAAGGTGCAGTGGAGGATGGGGACGGGGCAGAGAAGGATGGGAAGAAGGGAGGCTGTGATGGTGGTGCTGGTTGTGGTGACGATGAGTGGTGGGAAGAGGCAGGCATTGGGTCGCAGCGATACACACCTCCTTGTCCTCCCAGGCAACTCAAGAAAGTGCCTCCTTGCAATGTGAGTGCTGCTGTGACGTGAGTGCTGCCATGTGACTGACTCATTGCTTGATTCTTGCCAAACCAACCCAGCTTAGGATTCGTCGTCCCTCTCCCCTTTCCCCCTCACACCCTTGCTTCTCCCTCTCCTGTAACTCCGTTGTCTGTCCGCATTCCCCCCGCATCTCCCTCCCTCTGCTGCGCCGGGCATCAGAGCACGGAGACTATGAGTGCACCGCAGCTGCTGGAGCATCTCAAGCAGGGATTGGGATCACTAGGGCAGGTGCGTGGGGGATGTGGCGGAGGGTGGGGGGTTGCTGCAAGGAAGGGAGGGTTGCTTGGGCAGGTGGATATGTGGCTAGTGGGTGAAAAAGAAGCCTGGCTGATGCGTTTCTCCATTTCTTGACACCCACATGCCTCGTTATTCCTCTGATATGCACACTCCCCTGCCCAACACACCCCCCTCCCTGCTCCACTCGCCCACTTCCCTAAACTCCCTGTCGCTCTGCCTCCTTACCTCCCTTACTCCCTGTCGCTCTGCCTCCTTACCTCCCTTACTCCCTGTCGCTCTGCCTCCTTACCTCCCTTACTCCCTGTCGCTCTGCCTCCTTACCTCCCTTACTCCCTGTCGCTCTGCCTCCTTACCTCCCTTACTCCCTGTCGCTCTGCCTCCTTACCTCCCTTACTCCCTGTCGCTCTGCCTCCTTACCTCCCTTACTCCCTGTCGCTCTGCCTCCTTACCTCCCTTACTCCCTGTCGCTCTGCCTCCTTACCTCCCTTACTCCCTGTCGCTCTGCTTCCCTACCTCATGCCTCCCTGTCACCCTGCTTCCCTACCTCTATGCCTCCCTGTCACCCTGCTTCCCTACCGCCATGCCTCCCTGTCACCCTGCTTCCCTACCTCCATAAGACATTGTCACCCCACTTTCCTACGACCCTGCTTCCATCCCGCCCCCATCAGGTGGTGCACTGCGAGGAGCTGCCACAGAGGAAACCGCGCTATGGCAAGCTGGCCAGCCAGTTATGCCCTGCCACGTGGCACGCCTTGGCTCGTGCGGGCGTCTCCCAGCTCTATTCCCATCAGGTAAGCACTCGTGGCTCATGCCTTCCCGAGCCCATTAGGTAAGCACATGTGGCTTGTGCCTTCCATTGCCTCTTTTACCCCTTTCTCTTCAGAGAGATGACCAACAAACATTCTTGTTTGGTGAGGCCTTACCGATCCATGTCCTTTATCTTTGGTTGATTCCCTGCTTTGCTCTGCAGGTGAAGGCTATTGGCGCGGCACTGGCCGGGCGGCATGCAACCATTGCGACGGCAACAGCGAGTGGCAAGTCGCTGTGCTACAATGTGCCGGTCCTCCACACGCTGCTCTCCCACCCCCACGCCACCGCCCTCTACCTCTTTCCCACTAAGGTGCGCCCCTTTACTCGAGTAGGCATTGCTTATAAGAACAAAATATGGACTTTAACCCATGGATCTCATTTTCACCATTTCCTCATCTTCTCCTGCTAGCCCCTGGACCATGCCTCTTCTCTAAGGGGCGCCTCTCCTCTAAGGGGCGCCTCTCCTCTAAGGGGCTCCTCTCCTTTAAGGGCCATCCAGCCCTCCTCTCCCACCTCGCTTTCCCCACTCCCCTCGCTTCCTCCTCCTAAGGGCCATCCAGCCCTTCTCTCCCTCCTCGCTTCCCTCCACTCCCCTCGCTTCCTCCTCCTAAAGGCCACCCAGCCCTCCTCTCCCACCTCTCTTCCCTCCACTCCCCTCGATTCCTCCACCCAAGGGCCATCCAGCCCTCCTCTCCCACCTCGCTTCCTCCGCTCCCCACGCTTCCTCCTCCTAAGGGCCATCCAGCCTCCTCTCCCACCTCGCTTCCTCCACTCCCCTCGCTTCCTCCGCCCAAGGGCCATCCAGCCCTCCTCTCCCACCTCGCTTCCTCCACTCCCCACGCTTCCTCCTCCTAAGGGCCATCCAGCCCTCCTCTCCCACCTCGCTTCCTCCACTCCCCACGCTTCCTCCTCCTAAGGGCCATCCAGCCCTACGTTGGCAGATACGCCTTGGGCAGGGTTGCGTACCACGTATATACGCTTGCGTATGTACGTGGTACACTCATACTCTAGTATTTCTTGAAAATACGCCCGGGCAGCCCGCCGAAAAAAAAAAATCGAAATTGAAAAATTTCGCGAAGGTTTTGCTACTTCGCGACATGTTACCGCGAAGTCGCACATCGCCCAACCCACTTCTGAAATTCAAATTTTGAGCTCCAAACCTCCCACCACCCCAACCACACACCACCCCACCAAACCTCTCATCTCCAACCATCCCTCTCAAATGTTGTTCAGCAACTCGTCTGCTCATATAATGGATGACGAGTTCCTTTGTGTCGTTCAGTTTCCGTAGTCGTTTTCATTCCCGTAGCTCTCTTCTCCCGTTTTTCCTCATGGCGTCTAACTCCACCCCTCCTGCTGCGACGAGCAATGTTGCCTCTGTTCACTGCGGGCAGGGGTGGTGTTGGAAAAGCCCCACAAGGAACTCGGCTGTGGGGAAGCTAGCTAGAGGGTGGGGTGGGGATGTATGGGGTGGGGAGAAGAGAAGTAGCCCCAAATATGTATTTCTGGATTTTTATGAAATTAAATAATGACATGTGTTTTTGGGAAACATAACCCCCTCCCTGAAACAGGCCCTGCCCGGGAAATAAGTTTTACCTGCCCGCCCAGCGTATTTTTACGTATCACCAGTACGCCACCCCTGGCGTACCGCGTATATACCCAGCGTATAATACGCTAGCGTATTATACGTGATACTCGTATCTGCCAACGTAGATCCAGCCCTCCTCTCCCATCTCGCCTCCTCCACTCCCCACGCTTCCTCCTCCTAAACGCCATCCAGCCCTCCTCTCCCACCTCGCTTCCTCCACTCCCCACGCTTCCTCCTCCTAAGGGCCATCCAGCCCTCTTCTCCCATCTCGCCTCCTCCACTCCCCACGCTTCCTCCTCCTAAAGGCCATCCAGCCCTCCTCTCTCATCTCGCCTCCTCCACTCCCCACGCTTCCTCCTCCTAAGGGCCATCCAGCCCTCCTCTCCCATCTCGCCTCCTCCACTCCCCACGCTTCCTCCTCCTAAAGGCCATCCAGCCCTCCTCTCCCACCTCGCTTCCTCCACTCCCCACGCTTCCTCCTCCTAAGGGCCATCCAGCCCTCTTCTCCCATCTCGCCTCCTCCACTCCCCACGCTTCCTCCTCCTAAAGGCCATCCAGCCCTCCTCTCCCACCTCGCTTCCTCCACTCCCCACGCTTCCTCCTCATAAGGGCCATCCAGCCCTCCTCTCCCACCTCGCTTCCTCCACTCCCCACGCTTCCTCCTCCTAAGGGCCATCCAGCCCTCTTCTCCCATCTCGCCTCCTCCACTCCCCACGCTTCCTCCTCCTAAAGGCAATCCAGCCCTCCTCTCCCACCTCGCTTCCTCCACTCCCCACGCTTCCTCCTCCTAAGGGCCATCCAGCCCTCTTCTCCCATCTCGCCTACTACACTCCCCACGCTTCCTCCTCCTAAAGGCCATCCAGCCCTCCTCTCCCACCTCACTTCCTCCACTCCCCACGCTTCCTCCTCCTAAGGGCCATCCAGCCCTCCTCTCCCATCTCGCCTCCTCCACTACCCACGCTTCCTGCTCCTAAAGGCCATCCAGCCCTCCTCTCCCACCTCGCTTCCTCCACTCTCCACGCTTCCTCCTCCTAAGGGCCATCCAGCCCTACTCTCCCACCTCGCTTCCTCCACTCCCCACGCTTCCTTCTCCTAAGGGCCACCCAGCCCTCCTCTCCCATCTCGCCTCCTCCACTCCCCACGCTTCCTCCTCCTAAAGGCCATCCAGCCCTCCTCTCCCATCTCGCCTCCTCCACTCCCCACGCTTCCTCCTCCTAAAGGCCATCCATCCCTCCTCTCCCATCTCGCCTCCTCCACTCCCCACGCTTCCTCCTCCTAAAGGCCATCCAGCCCTCCTCTCCCACCTCGCTTCCTCCACTCCCCACGCTTCCTCCTCATAAGGGCCATCCAGCCCTCCTCTCCCACCTCGCTTCCTCCACTCCCCACACTTCCTCCTCCTAAGGGCCATCCAGCCCTCTTCTCCCATCTCGCCTCCTCCACTCCCCACGCTTCCTCCTCCTAAAGGCCATCCAGCCCTCCTCTCCCACCTCGCTTCCTCCACTCCCCTCGCTTCCTCCTCCAAAAGGGCCATCCAGCCCTCCTCTCCCATCTCGCCTCCTCCACTCCCCACGCTTCCTTCTCCTAAAGGCCATCCAGCCCTCCTTTCCCACCTCGCTTCCTCCAATCCCCACGCTTCCTCCTACTAAGGGCCATCCAGCCCTCCTCTCCCACCTCGCTTTCTCCACTCCCCTCGCTTCCTCCTCCCAAGGGCCATCCAGCCCTCCTCTCCCATGTCGCTTCCTCCACTCCCCTCGCTTCCTCCTCCCAAGGGCCATCCAGCCCTCCTCTCCCACCTCGCTTCCTCCACTCCCCTCGCTTCCTCCTCCAAAGGGCCATACAGCCCTCCTCTCCCATCTCGCCTCCTCCACTCCCCACGCTTCCTTCTCCTAAAGGCCATCCAGCCCTCCTCTCCCACCTCGCTTCCTCCACTCCCCTCGCTTCTCCCTCTAAGGGGCACCTCTCCTGTAAGGGGCGCCTCTCCTCTAAGGGGTCTCATAACTTAGGCTTAGAAGCGATACATTAGTAATGAGCTTGAAGCTCATTAAGTACATCCAAGAAGGGGAGGGAATGGATGGGGAAGGGAATCGGGGGCAATCCATAGGGATTGGGGGTAATCCCAAGGCAATCTCCAATTGGTGGGTTGGAGATTGCTTGGAGATTACATTTGGGTTTGGTTGGGATGTAGGTGTACACCCAACCAAACACAATGTGCAAACTACACTACTCTAGGATATAGAAAATACAAAGTACAAAGTGTGAGATTGAAGGCTAACACTAACACCCCCCCATAGGCGTCAATCGAACTCATGGTAGAGAGGGTGGTTCACAGAGCCCCATGGCGCCTAGGAGACGGTGGTGGGGAACTTTCCCAAGGGGCTTGGTGAACAGATCAGCCAGGTTGCAGTCAGATGCAACGTATTCCACTTTCAGCTGCTCCTGTTGGACAAGATCACGGATGAAGAAGTGCCGAAGTTCAATATGCTTGGTGCGGGTGTGATACACGGGGTCTTGAGAGATGTGGATGGTACTCTGGTTGTCACACTAGAGGGTGGGGGCAGACTGTGGGAAACCAAGCTCCTGGAGTAGGAAGGTGAGCCAACGGGCCTCCTGAGCAGCCATGGTGCCTGCGTAGAGCTCTGCCTCACAGGAGGAGAGGGAGACCGCAGACGACCTGGTGGAGCGCCAACTGACAATTCCGCTCCCAAGGGTGAAGCAGTATCCCTGAGAGGAGCGTCGGTCGGTCTGGTCATCAGCCCAGGAGGAGTCGGTGTAACCTTCCAGGCGAGGAGGGGAGAGCCCACCGAGTGTGAGAACGTGAGACTTGGTGCCCTGAAGATAGCGCAGCACCCGCTTCGCCGCCTTCCAGTGAAGATCAGTGAAGCGCCCAGGGGCCACGTAGCGAGAGAGGACACTGACAGGATAGGTCAAGTTCGGTCAGGTGCACATCATGGCGTACATGAGGGACCCAACAAGCTCCGGGTATGGCTCAGAGCAGGCCTCTGGTGTGGGTACAGCTGGAGCAGTGAGGAGGTGTTGCAGCGGCAGCGGGGTGGCAACAGGTGTGCACAGCTCCATCTCAAACCGCTTGAGCACATTGTCGATGTAGAACTCCTGAGAGAGTGAAATGGTGCGAGCCTGACGATCACGAGTGATCTCCATCCCTAGGTAGTGTTTAAGGTCACCGAGGTCTTTCATCTGGAGAGCCTTGCTCAGGGCTACCTGGATAGAGGTCATCTAGGCCGAGTCCTTGGCAACGAGGATGAAATCATCCACGTAGACCATGTTAGAATTAGGCTATCAACACTTTGTGTACTATATTCTATATCGCGTAGGTTATTTGCAGGTTGGGTGTAGTTTGTGATCCCAATCCTATCTGGTTGGGATTCCCTCGTAATCCTGCAAATCTGCCAACTCACCAATTGGAGATTTGCTAGGATCCCCATCCCATCTTTTCCCTCGCCTTGCCCATCCCAACCTCGTATGTACTTACGGCCTAGTGTCTTCTTTCCTAATCAATCAGTTCAGTTCCAATTCTATCATGGTATCGAGCTAGCAAATTCCGCTCACGCGGAATCCGATCCTTGGCGTCGCGATCATTCTCTTCCTCTCGGTTATGGTGTTCTCGGTTCACGCCTTCTTCGCTTAGCGTTTTCCGTCTTCACATCGTCGCACTGGTCAAAAGCGCTTTCCCGCTACGTCTACGTGCATTTCCGATTTCTCGTAGTACCTCCCATTCAAACGTGCTCCCTCACAAACCTCCCGTTACCTTCCCTTGACTCCTCCACCTGTCACTGCCGCCTTCTTTCCGACAAAACCATGCTCCTTCATCACCGCCTTGGCCACATCAACTTTCGCGCGCTTTCAGACCTTGCCACAAAACGACTCCTCCACGGGCTTCCAACCTCACTTCCCTCTCCTACCTCCACCCTAGGGCCGCCTTGCCTTGACTGTGCACAGAGCAAGCTTCGTGAACAGCCCCATCCCCCCACTGAGTCCATCTCCGCTGCACCTCTCGATCGCGTGCACATGGACCTTTGGGGCCCAGCTCCTGTTCGCTCTCGCGGTGGACACTTTTACTTCCTTGTCATCATTGATGACTATTCCCGCTATGTGTCTGTCCACCTTCTCTCCTCCAAATCCGAAGCCCCACGCGTCATCATTGAATGGGCGAAGCAGGCTCACAAACACTTCAAAACCACCTTCAAGGTCCTTCACTCTGACGGTGGCGGTGAATTCCGCACTAACACTCTCAAAGCTTACTGCTCCACTGAGGGTATCCGTCAGACCTTCACTCTCCCGGACAGTCCCCAACAGAACGGTATTGCCGAAAGCCGGAACCGTACATTGGTGCAGATTGCTCGCTGCCTCCTCACGCACGCCTCCGCCCCTCCCTCTCTCTGGGGGTACGCCATGCTTCATGCTGCCGCCCTTCACAATCTCCATCCCCATCCTCATCACACCCACACCACCCCTGCTGAGCTATGGACGGGTCAAAAGCCATCCGTCCGCCCTCTTCGTGTATGGGGGTGCACTTCCTATGTCCTCCTCAACTCCCAAGCTCGTCGTGCGGCTGGCGGCAAACTTGCTCCCAAAACGATCACGTGCGTATACCTCGGGCACAACTTAGATTCGTCAGACTATCTCTTCCTCCATCCTTCCACCAACAAGCTCTATCGCAGCCGGGACGTTTACTTTGATGAGTCCCACCCATTCTACCCCTCCTCCAAGGCTTCCCCCTCTCCTCCGCCTCCCTCTCTTACTTGGGCTGGCTTTGACAGTCTCCCTCTTCCCGACACTCCATCTCCTCCTCTTCCCGCTCCCTCCACCATTTTTTATCCCCCATCACCCGCTTCCCCCTCCAGTACCACACAGTCTCCCTCGCTCCCTCCCTCCTCCGCTACCCCTCCTCCATCTCCTCTCGCATCTCCTCCTACCGAGCCCGTTCCTCTCAAAACCTACCAATGCCGTCACCCAGCTCCTCCTCCTCCTGCTCCCACCCCTGATCCCGATCCTGTCTCCACTCTCCCTCCCACTCCCACCTCCCCTTCCGCTGCGCCTACTCCGGCCCCGCCTCCCTCACCCATCGCTTCTCGCACCCGCTCTCGCACACCTCCACAACCGTTCTCCCTTTCCGTTCGCGTCTCTCTCAATCCTCCTCCTGTCAGGGGTGATTATTCTCTCATGCCATCCCTTCTTTAAGACAGACATGAGGAGTTGATTGATATCGACTAAGCCATCCACGCACTCTGCTTCCTCTTTCCAGACATCGCAGACTCTCCCACCCTCAATTTCTCCGACAACCCCTCCATCCCCACACCTCTCACCTATGCTGAAGCAGTCTCTGGTCCTCACTCTGCTCAGTGGTTGGGGGCCATTGTCGCAGAATGTGAGGCCTTCATTCACACAGAAACTTTCACAGACGTCTCTCCTCCCTCCGGCGTCAACATTGTGAAGGGAAAATGGGTCTTTCGGGTGAAACAACTTCCAGACGAATTTCCTGTATTCAAAGCCCGGTACTGTGCCAAGGGATTTACCCAAAAGCGTGGACTGGACTTCTTTGAGACATTCTCTCCCACCGCCAAACCTCCCACACTGCGCACCCTTCTCGATGTCGCTGCTCGAGATGACATGGAGGTTGACTGCATGGATGTGTCTTCTGCGTTCCTGCAAGGGATCCTTCGAGAGGAAATCTATATGGAGCGGCCCGAAGGATTTCCAGCTCCTTTTCCACCAGGCACTGTATGGAAGCTGAATCGGCCAGTGTATGGCCTCAAGCAAGCTCCCCGGGAATGGCACAACAAGCTAAAGAGCACCTTAGGGTCCCTCGACTTTCACCCATCCACCTCTGACCCCAGCCTCTTCATCCGAGCAACACCCTCCCGGTTCTTCATCCTCGTTTATGTCGATGACATGATCCTTCTCACCAAGGATCAGACTGAGCTGGCAGCAGTCAAAACCGCACTTGGTGAGAAGCTGGCCATGAAGGACCTTGGGAAGCTGACGAACTATTTGGGAATGGAAATCACACGTGATCGCACAGCCCGCACCATCACCCTTTCGCAGAAGTTTTACATCAACAACGTTCTGACAAGGTTCCAGATGCAGGTAGCAGCATCAATGCCCACCCCACTCTCTCTGCAACACCAACTCACTGCACCCTCCGTTCCCTCACCTGAGCCCTGTGCCGAGCCTTACCCCGAGCTCGTGGGATCCCTCATGTACGCGATGATGTGCACTCGACCAGACTTAGCCTATCCAGTCAGTGTACTGTCCCGCTACGTTGCACCTGGTCGCTTCACTCGCCACCACTGGTCTGCCGCCAAGTGGGTTCTTCGCTATCTCAAAGGCACACAGGATTATGTGCTCACACTTGGCGGCACTTCCCCGGTTCGCCTTGAGGGGTACAGTGACTCATCCTATGCTGATGACCAGAGTGATCGGCGCTCGTCCCAAGGGTATTGCTTTACCCTTGGCAGTGGGGTTATAAGTTGGCGCTCCACTCGGTCGTCCTCCGTCTCACTGTCGACCTGTGAGGCAGAGCTGTATGCCGGGACCATGGCTGCACAGGAGGCTCGTTGGCTCTCCTTCCTGCTGACAGAACTGGGGTATCCCCAACCAACCCCAACGCTTTGGTGTGACAACGAGAGCACCATTCATCTCACCTAAGACCTCGTTTTCCATGGCCGCACCAAGCACATTGAAGTCCGTCACTACTTTCTTCGTGAGCTGGTGCAGCGCGAGCAGCTGAAGGCTAAACACATTGCCTCCGACTGCAACCTTGCTGACTTGTTTACCAAGTCGCTTGTTCGCGAGGATCATTACCGCCTCCTCTCGGCCATGGGTGTTGGGCCTCCTTGTGGCTGATGTGTTGCAGCCTAGGGGGTGTGTTAGAATTAGGCTATCAACACTTTGTGTAGTATATTCTATATCGCGTAGGTTATTTGCAGGTTGGGTGTAGTTTGTGATCCCAACCCTATCTGGTTGGGATTCCCTCGTAATCCTGCAAATCTGCCAACTCACCAATTGGAGATTTGCTAGGATCCCCATCCCATCTTTTCCCTCGCCTTGCCCATCCCAACCTCGTTTGTACTTAAGGCCTAGTGCCTTCTTTCCTAATCAATCAGTACAGTTCCAATTCTATCAGACCAGGATGTAGAATGGCTCAGAGTGACGGCGGATGAAGAGAGTCGGGTCAGCAGTTGAAGGGTGGAAGTCCAGGGAGAGGAAGACTTCTTTCACCTTGTTGTGCCATTCGCGAGGGGCTTGCTTAAGGCCGTAGACGGTGCGATTCAGCTTCCAGACAGTGTTGGGAGGGAATTCTCCTGGAAAGTCTTCTGGTCTGTCCATGAACACCGTCTCTTTGAGACGTCCTTGTAGGAAGGCGGATGAGGCATCCATGGATTTGATCTTAAAGTCTTCTCGAGCTGCGACATCCATGAGAGTACGAATGGTGGGAGGTTTGGATGTGGAGGAGAAGGTTAGGAAAAATTCGCGATACTGCTGCTGGGTGAAGCCCTTGGCTACGTAACGCGCTTTGAACACCGGGGCCTCGTCTGGGAGCTGTTTTACACGGAACAACTACTTGCCCCCGACGATGTTGACTCCTGGAGGTGGTGTCTCGTCGTCGAATGAGTGGTTGCGGGTGAATGCTGCAATCTCCGCTTCCATGGCAGCACGCCATTCGGCAGCATGAGGGCCTGAGAGAGCCTCTTGGACGGTGAGAGGGATAGGGATGGTCGGGTTCTCCGCGAAGTTGAGGGAGGGTGAGTCAGTGATGTCGGGGAAGATGTGCGAGAGCTGAGGAATGATTGCATGAAAATCACACAGCTCCTCATGCCTGTCTTCCAGAAGGGTAGAGGGCACATCCCCCCCAGCAGGAGGAGGCGGTGTGATCGCCGTGTATCGAAGAGCCAGCGCTAGTGGAAGAGCCGCGCCATGCGAACGAGTGCCATGAGCCACAGGAGAAGAGGGTGGGGCAGGCGGTGTCGGAGGGGTTGAGTTAGGAGGCTTGGGCGGGGGAATGGGCCGCCGGTGGTACGTGATCAGCTCGGGCGACTGTGGGAGAGCGGGTTCCTCTGTGGTGGGGGGAACCGGGGGAGGAGGTGGGGCCGGAGGGTGGGACCGCCGATGGTAGGTGATAGGTGCGCTCGGAGGTGGCTGCACAGTCGGCGGAGTGGGAAGTGAGGGGGATGGAGGAGCAGCTGCCGAAGACACCGGTGAGAGCGGGTCAAAGACCGTAGAGGGGGACGGTGTGGTGGCAGGAGGGGTAGGGGGTGAAGGGGCCGGAGCAGGCGAGAGGTCAGGGGGCGCATCAACGTCTGCCCACACGAGGGAGGGTGGGTCAGGGAGAGGGTCCCGTCCCGAAGTGGAGTAGAATGGGCGGGTCTCATCAAAGACAGCGTCGCGGCTCCGGACCAACTGCTGAGTGGAGGGATTGAGGAAGAGGTAGTCAGGCGAGTCGACGTTGTGTCCGAGGTAGATGCATGTCTGGGTCTTGGGACCGAGCTTGCCGCTGTGCTGCCGTCGAGCCTGAGGGTTGAGGAGGACATAGGCGGTGCACCCCCAAACGCGAAGAGAGCGAGCAGTGGGCGTTTTCCCGAGCCAAAGTGTGGTTGGAGTGGTGTCGGGAAGATGCGGGTGGGGGTAAAGGTTGTAGAGGAGGGCGGCGTGGTAGAGAGCGTACCCCCAGAGAGAGTGTGGAGCATTGGAGTGGCTGAGGAGGCACCGAGTGATCTGCACCAGGGTGTGGTTGCGGCTCTCAGCTATGCCGTTCTGCTACGGGCTGTTAGGGAGGGTGAAGTTTTGCTGGATGTCTTCTGAAGAGCAGAAGACTTTGAGCTTGTCGTTGCAAAACTCACCACCACCATCTGAGTGGAGGCGCTTGACTTTGCGGACAAAGGCGGTCTGTGCCTGTTTAACCCACGCCATGAGGACCTCTGGAACCACAGCCTTAGTGTGGAGGAGGTGAACAGAGACGTAGCGAGAGTGGTCATCGACGATAACAAGGAAGTAGCGATAACCACCTCGTGCGGGAACAGGGGCAGGGCCCCAGACGTCCAGGTGTACCAGGTCCAGTGGTCCTGCTGCGACAGAGGGTGAGGCCGGGTGGGGCTGTTGACGTAGTTTGCTCTTGGTGCAGTCAAGGCACGTGGGAGCGGGGGAGTCTGGTGGTGGAGGAAGTGAGGTTGGCAGGCCCAGTAGAAGTTTCTTGGAGGCCATGTCAGCAAGTGTGCGGAAGTTTGGGTGCCCGAGCCGATGGTGGTAGAGTATGGTCGGGTTGGAGAAACTGCGGCACGAGCATGGTGAGGTAGTCGCCGCTGTTTGGGTGGTTAACACCTGTGGGATGGGTACTTGCAGCGTGTAAAGGCCGCTGCTGTTGAGGGTGAAACGAGTCAAGACCTTGTTGGTGAGTGGGTCGAGGATATCACCATAGTTCTCGTTCTCTCAGAAGATGGTGCATAGTCCAGCTTCCTGAATTTCCGTTTGGGCCACGAGATTGTGACGGAGTGAAGGCACGCACATTCCAGTGACAGCGCCGGAAGGGAAGGCGGGGCACGGGACTGTGGATGAACCCTTGGCATGAGTGGTGAAGCTTGAGTCAGCTCCTAAGAGAGGGATGGGTGTTGCGTAGGGTCTGAAGGAGAGTGTCTCCTTGAGTACAGTGTGTGTGGTGTCACTAAATACAGTGGTAAAGAACAATATATTTGGTTGTACGCTATAGTTGGTGTAGTGAGGTGTAGGATTGGGGTTATGCAACTTTACAGAGGGGTTGTTGAGCTTCAAGGGAATGACGCGAAGTTGGTAGCATGGGGAATTGGGACATTGGGAAGAGCTACAAGCGCCTCGAGGAGCAGGGAATCTGCAGCAACCAGTAAGGCACATGGCGACTCGAACCCAACCCAAGGCCATGGAAATGGTCGTGACTCTGGGTAGGGAATAAAGCAGCCTAGCCTAGACACTAGAACATGCTCTCTCGTTTTGTTTGCCTACTATAGTGGATTCAATTCACCGTTCTAAGGCTACGGCAGCTAGGTGATACGCCACTGAGGGCAGCCAGCTTGTGGGGGCAGGAATCTCTCACAAAACGAGAGAGAGCTTACTGGCGACATGGATTGCCACGATCAACGTGTGCAGCGTACGTACTCACGGCGGGAACGATCTCCGTCGCGGAGGAGACGCTCGAGGGAGCGCGGAAGATCGCCGACGCGCTCGCCACGTCGGGCAGCGTACCGCGTGGATCCGGTGACGCCGACGGACGTGCGAAGGGAAGAAAGCGGGGAGGACCTGCGCGTCAGGTCAGAGCCGTGGAGGCGGCCGACGATCAGCAACCCGTGGAACCTGGCAGAAGGCCAACGCGGGACGGGTGGAAGGCGTGACAACGCTGACGACGACGGATTGCCCACTGCGCGGGGCGGCGGAAGGCGCGAAAACGCCGACGACGACGGATCGCCCACTGCGCGGGGCGGCGGAAGGCGTGAAAACGCCGACGACGACGGATCGCCCACTGCGCGGGGCGGCGGAAGGCGTGAAAACGCCGACGACGACGGATCGCCCACTGTGCGGGGCGGCGGAAGGCGTGAAAACGCCGACGACGACGGATCGCCCACTGCGCGGGGCGGCGAAAGGCGTGAAAACGCCGACGACGACGGATCGCCCACTGCGCGGGCCGGCGGAAGGCGTGAAAACGCTGACGACGACGTATCGCCCACTGCGCGGGGCGGCGGAAGGCGTGAAAACACCGACGACGACGGATCGCCCACTACGCGGGGCGGCGGAAGGTGTGAAAACGCCGACGACGACGGATCGCCCACTGCGCGGGGCGGCGGAAGGCGTGACGCGGCCGACAAGGAGGAGTTCCCCACTCCGCGGGGCGGCGGAAAGCGCGACATCGCCAACGACGAGCAGGCTTTCCCTGTTGCGCGGGAAGGAGGAGGGCAAAGGTACAAGAGGAGGGATGAAAGGGAGCGAGCCCGACACGGAAAGGTGCGGGGGGAGGACGAGGAGCACGGGAACGAGGAGTACTCACCTGCGGGACGGCAGGGAGAGGGAAAGAGAGCATCAGCGGGTGTCTACCGCTCGCCTGAGCCGAGACCAGGATATGACCGCCGACGGCGCATGGCGATGGGTGAAGGTCGGTGGGCCGAGCGGGAACAGCGGGAAGAGAGGTTGGACTATGAGGAGCGACGTCAGCAGAGCCCGCCTGAGTGGGAGCGGGTGTGCAACAGAGAAGGACGAGAAAGGGGAAGGCGATCACCGCACGGCTCCAGAGCAGAAGGAGGAGGTCGGCAGCGGAGGGAGCAAGAGTGGCATCGCCAGGAACGTTCACCTGTGCGGGGAAATGGACGTTGGGAGGATCAGGAAAAGTGCAGGAGACAGAGCGAAGACGACCAGAGGAAAGGTCGGAGTCCAAGTGGCACTAGGAGGCTATGGCAGCATGGAGAAGGATCTAGTGGGGTCAGGGCAGCTCGTGAGGGACTGGAGCGAGCACTGTACGGGACAAGCGCAGGAAGCAGAGGAGACAAAGGAAAGCAGCGAGGGGCTGCTCTGTCAGATCGGGGAGGCTCGGGGAGTTGGGATTGGGGGAGATGGGGCGCAACGGCAGCACCACGGGTGGAGGTGCCGGTGCGCTTCACAGGGAACGAGAACACAGGACCAAGCCTCAAGAACTACCTGATGCAGATCAGCAATGTGAAGTATCGGTGCGATCGAAGCGGGATGGACCCCATAGACTTCTTCTTGAGCCTGCCAAACACACTCGGGGGGGAAGCAGAAACCCTATATCGCATGAAGATGGGAGAGTGGTTGAGGAGGGCCGATGAAGATGAGGAGGACCCGACGGTGCTATTTCTGGACCGGCTGAGAAAGCAGTTTCCAGGGCACACAGCGGCGCGCATCAAAGAGTTTCAAGAGTTCAAGAGGAGGGACGAGGAATCTTTGCTAACGTACTACGGCCGGCTGATGAATCTAGCGGAGGACGTGGTGTGCACGGACAGCAGTATGGTCATTAGTAAATTCCTAAATGGGCTGGACAAGGGACTGGCAGGGGGACTGAGAATGCGGGTCTACGAGCTGGGAGCAGACGCGACACCTGAAGAGGTGTTTGAGCTAGCAGAGAGAGTGGAGCTGGCACAGAGAAAGTATGAGGTGTACCTGCCGCGGCCAACAGAGAGGAAGAATCCTGCTTGGGCTGCAGCAATGATACCTGAGACGGGAGGAAGAGAAGAGAGCCGACAGGAAAGAGGAGCTGAGACACGCACCTGCCACCGATGCAAGCAGCCAGGGCATCTGATGAGAAATTGCAGGAATTGCGACACCTGTGGGAAGCCAGGACACCGCCGAAGGGACTGCCCGGATGCACCCAGCTGCGAGGTGTGTGGGAAGCGGGGGCATAAGGGGAAGGACTGCTACCAACGCACAGGAGGGCCAAGGAGGACGCCAGAGGAGATAGAAGGGCAGATAGGGAGATTGCAAGCGCAGCTGCTGGCACTGGGAGGGAAGAAGGAGAAAGAGGCAGGATTGTATGCAAGGGAAGAGGATGACGAAGCAGAGGTGATAGATGAGCCAGCGCTTGAGTACAATTTCATGGTGTTGCGCAGCCGAGAGGAGTTGGGCCTGCGCAGCGGGGGCAGGGATGGAAGAAAAGAGCAAGTGGTGAGGGAGAGGAGCAGGCCAAAGAGAGCTCCAGAGGAGAAGGGTAGAGGGGAAGAAGAGCCAGCCAGGCATCCCAAGGAACGGCTAGCCAGTCAAGCGACGGTGCTGGTGGCAGGAGCGGGAACAGTGGCAGTGGGAGGGGAAGTGGCAAGAACTGCGATCATAGATACGGGGGCACAGAGTGTGATGTTGGGGAGGCGGTTAGCAAAGAAGCTGGGGCTGAACGGGCCGGGACAGCACATAAAACGAGGAATGCTAGTAATGACAGCAGAGGGAGGTGAGCCTAAGTCCCTGCCGTGCACCAAGACTCCAGTGGAGATAGTCCTGATGCCGGGGAAGGAGGAGCAGACTAGTATAAGGCTGCAGTGTGGGATTTCAGACTCAGAAGATTTTGATGTACTGCTAGGCACAGACCTGATTTGGGGAGTAGGGATGACCATCTGCACGTGGAAAGAAAAGGGAAAGTTTCGGAAGCGGTATTGGGAGCGGGGGAGCAAGACGGGAGAGCTGCCTGTGTCATTCACTAAGCAGGAGCCAAAGAGGGCGTACACGGGCGAGCAGATGGGGACCAGGGAGAGAGGGAGAGCAGGGATCGTGGGAAAAGCAGCAGCAGTCAACGCATGGCAAGAGCCGATAAAGCTGGTCGAGCTGTTCGGGGGAATAGGAGCAGGGCTGGCAGCAGTGCTCAAGGCAGGAGTGGCCGTGAGGGAATGGGTATACATGGAAAATAACGAACAGGTGAGGAAGATGGCAGAGCACCATGCGAGAAAGCTGCAGCAAGAGTACCCCGAGCTACTAGAAGAAGCAGTGATAGTGAAGGCAATGCGAGGAACAGTGACTGATGTAAGAAGCATCACGCGGGAGGTGGTGAGGAGCTGGGGGCATGTGGACCTGCTGGTGGCCGGATGGGAGTGTCAGGCTGTGTCAAGGGCAGGGAAAGGAAAGGGATTAGGAGATCCAAGAGGGGCGCTGCTAGTGAACTTGCTGTGCATCATAGACTGGATTAAGGAAGGACAAGAGAAGGTGGTATACCTGCTGGAGCACCTGGATCTGGAAGGGGACTGCAGGGAGCCTGTCAGGAAAGTGCGGGAGTTAGTGACAAGGAAGCTGGGGAAGGGGGTAAGATGTGATGCGGCCAGGCTGGGGGCACGAGCTCATCGTGTCCGGCGATACTGGCAGAACGTGGTCACAGATGAGCAACTGCAGCAGGAGCTGGATGGAATACGCAGGGACTGGAGCCGGACCGTGCGAGAGATTTTAGAGCCCGGTAGGACAGCGGCACCTGTTAGGAAAGGCAGGCATGAGACACAATGCCCATGCAACAAAGTGGGGGCAGAGCGCAGGGCGTGGCCGACATTAGTGGGGTACGAAGGGGCAGCTGGGTTCAGAGAGGAAGACGGGCTGCCAGGAGAAGGCATGGTGTATGACTGCCGTTCGAAGAGATGGGAGGAGCCAAGTGCGTTAGAAAGGGAATTAGCAATGGGGTATGGAGAGGAGGCCACCAAGGCAGCAGGGGTGACAGAAAAGGAGAGAAGAAGAGCATTAGGACAGGCCATGGACGGACAAGTTATGCAGTGGTTACTGAGGCGGATGTGGAGAGGGCTGGTGCTAGAAGAGGAAGGAGGAGAAGAGAGTGTGGGGACAAGGGTGAAAAAGGTGGGGGCATGGGTATGCATGGCAGCCAAGGAAGAGCCAGCATGGGTCGTGGGGAATGCAATGAGTGAGAAAGGAAAAGAGGCAATGCAGGAGGTGCTGGCGAGGTATAGGCACGCCTTCGCGTTTACCATGCAGGAGCTGGGGAAGTGCACTGTGAAGGAGATGGAGCTGAAGCTGGTGACGGATGAGCCGGTATTCCAGAGGAAGCGGAGGATGACCCCTGGAGATGAGGATGTCTGCAAGGAGAAATGTAAGGAGCTGATGGAAGCAGGGTTGATACAGAGGTCGGAATCAGAGTATGCAACACCGACGGTAGTAGCTGCCCGAAAGGACCTGCTGGGGGAGGTGCTGAGCAGACGCATGTGTGGGGATTATCGGGCACTGAACAAGGTGACAGTGCCTGACCGCTACCCAATGCCCACAGCTGAAGATATCTTTGACCGGCTGGGGGCAGGTGAGGTCTTTAGCACGCTAGACTTAAGACAGGGGTTCAACCAGATTAGGATAAGGAAAGAGGACGTGCGGAAGACGGCGTTCCATGGAGCAGATGGCCTATACGAGTGGCTGTTCATGCCATTCGGGCTGCGAAACGCGTCTGCCATCTTTCAGAGAGTAATGGACAGCGTGCTGAGGGGGCTGGAGTGCGCGGCGTGTTACATAGATGATGTAGTAATTTTCAGCCGGACGGAAGAAGAGCATGTGAGAGACGTGGAGCAGACACTGAAGGCGTTGGCAGCAGCTGGGCTGACATGCCATCCGAAGAAGTGTAGGTGGGGAGAGGCGACAGTGCAGTACCTGGGCTATGAGGTTAGGGGCGGGCAGCTAGGGATCCAGCAGGCGAAGATTGAGGTGCTGAGCAGGCTGCAGCAGCCAAAGGACCGAAGCGGACTAAGGGCGGTACTGGGATTTCTGAGCTATTACCGCAGGTTCGTCCCGAATTTCAGCAAGCGGGCTGCACCACTGAACGGGCTGCTGAAGGAGGACAGGAAGTGGGAATGGGGGATGGAGCAGGAAGCAGCATTGAAAGATCTGATGGAAGCGGTGCAGACAGCAACGATTCTGCAGCTACCCAAGACTGACAAGCCCTTTTGCCTATACACCGACTGGAGCAGCCAAGGCATGGGGGCAATCCTGTGCCAGGAGTTAGATGGGGAGGAGAGGGTTGTGGCATACGCAAGCAGGAGCTGCAGCCCAGCGGAAGCCAAGTACAGCTCTTACCACGGAGAGGGGCTGGCAGCCGTGTGGGCTGTAAAACACTTCAGGGTATACCTGCAGGGAAGGAAGTTCACACTGATCACAGACCATCAACCCCTGCAATGGCTGATGACCCATCAAGGGCTGACAGGGAGGAACGCGCGTTGGGCCGTGACGCTGCAAGAATATGACTTCAAGATACGCCACAGGCCGGGAAAGACTCTGCAGCACGTGGACGGGCTCTCAAGGAACCCGCCGGCAGCAGAGCCAGTACACACGCTGATGTTGCTGGCAAGGCAAGGGGAAGAGGCAGCAGCAGGGAAGCAAAAGGGGCCAAAGGATATTTGGGAAGATCCAGCAGCACTGCGATGGATTCAGGGAGAAACTGATGAGGAGGAGCAGGTCTCTGACAGGGTCAGGGCAAGGGGGCACCATTACCGATGGTACCAGGGACAGCTGCAGTTACAGACGGCGGATGGATGGAAGCTGGTACCTGCACCACAGGACAGGGAGGGAGTGATTAAGGAGGTGCACAGGAAGCTGGGGCACTTCGGGCACGAGCGCACGACGGAACTGTTGAAGACCGGCTGGTGGTGGGAGGGTATGAGAAGGCAGGTCAGGGAATGGGTCAGCGGATGCGAAGGTTGTCAGAGGAGCAAGGCCAGCCTAGCACAGGCGAAGCAGGAGCTGCAGTCACTGCCGATAAGAGGGTTAGGGTTCAGGTGGTCTCTCGACATAGCTGGTGAACTGCCGCTGAGCAGGGGAGGCAAGCGGTATATACTGCTAATGGTGGAACACGCGAGCAGGTGGGTAGAGGTGTGTGCATTGCCGAGCAAAGATTCCAGGCACGTGGCAAAGGCATTCAAGGGACAGGTCCTGTGCAGGTTTGGGGCACCAGGGGAAGTGCTCACAGATCAGGGGACGGAATTCAGAGGGGAATTTCAGGCACTGCTGGACGAGGCAAGGGTGACACACAGGCTGACATCTAGGTACCACCCACAGAGCGATGGGTTGACTGAGCGCCTGGTGCAAACCCTGAAACGGAACCTGAGGGCATATGGAGAGAAGCGCAAGAGAGACTGGGATGAGGAGCTGGACTGGATTGCGGCGGGGTACCGGTTTGGGAAGCAGGCCTCCCTGAAGGACTATTCCCCGTATAGCATGCTGTTTGGGAAGGAGCCAATCCTGCCAGTGGGAGCACCGAGGGTGCTGACAGATGTGGTGCAAGTCACAGGAGCAGAGCAGTGGGTGGCACTAGCGGAGGCACGGGCACGATACATGCGGGAGATGCTCCCTGCGGCCCTGGAAAACCTGCACACGGCGCAGTTGAGGGACGCACACAGGTATGAGCAGCGGCAGCAGCAGGGTAGCAGGAAGGCCAGACCAGCGGTGATGGAAGGACAAGAGGTGTACCTGCGCAGGGCAAAGAGGGATACGCTGGACGTGGGGCTAGGAACGCAGAGATGGAAGGTGAAGGAGGTGAGAGGGTCTGGAGTGCTGGTGCTGGAGAACGACAAGGGGGAAAAGACGGTGGATCATCAGACTAATGCTGCGGCGGTGAATGGACGAGGGCCTCAGCGAGAGGGTCCTGTGACCCGCGCACGGGCAGCCCGAGACCGGGCACAGGAGGGGGCAGGTAGTGGCTGAGGCCGAGGCACGCAAAGTCTGCAGGCAGGCAGGGAAGTGCAGAAAGAAGAAGGGTAAGAGGACAAGGGAGGAAGCAGCCAAGGGGTGGAGTGAGAAAGAGGAGATCTCCGACAGCTGTCACCAAATACAGTGGTAAAGAACAATATATTTGGTTGTACGCTATAGTTGGTGTAGTGAGGTGTAGGATTGGGGTTATGCAACTTTACAGAGGGGTTGTTGAGCTTCAAGGGAATGACGCGAAGTTGGTAGCATGGGGAATTGGGACATTGGGAAGAGCTACAAGCGCCTCGAGGAGCAGGGAATCTGCAGCAACCAGTAAGGCACATGGCGACTCGAACCCAACCCAAGGCCATGGAAATGGTCGTGACTCTGGGTAGGGAATAAAGCAGCCTAGCCTAGACACTAGAACATGCTCTCTCGTTTTGTTTGCCTACTATAGTGGATTCAATTCACCGTTCTAAGGCTACGGCAGCTAGGTGATACGCCACTGAGGGCAGCCAGCTTGTGGGGGTAGGAATCTCTGAGGAGGAGGAGGGTAGTGGCTGAGGCCGAGGCACGCAAAGTCTGCAGGCAGGCAGGGAAGTGCAGAAAGAAGAAGGGTAAGAGGACAAGGGAGGAAGCAGCCAAGGGGTGAGGTGAGAAAGAGGAGATCTCCGACAGTGGCGCCGCTGTCGAGTGTGAACTCTATGTATTGTGGTGCTTGTGATGAGCCGAGGTACTGGGAGGAAGCTTCATTAATCATGGCAGTGCCAGGGAACAACAGGTTGATACGGGCATCAACAGGAGCACTATCACTAGCACTAGCCGAAGCGGGGTCCTGGACCTCAACCAGGTTGGCCTTACGCGCACGCATCCAGTTCGGTGGCCTCTTGTCTATGTCGTGGATGGCGTACCATTCGTCGTCCTTCTTCTTGAAGCACGTAGCAAGGGGGTGGTTAGTGCCACCACACACTTGTCCCTTGCGGTTGCCATACTTGACGACGTAGGTGCACGGTGGGAAGCGGTTGCGCTGGAGGGGCGCCGAGGCAAGGACCGATGCGACACTGGCTTGAGGCATGGGAGCACGGATGGCGTAAGCCTCGGCCTGAGCCGTGGAGTCTTTCTCGGCAGAGAGGAGTGCGGTGGAGACCTTGGCAAAAGTGAGGTCTTCCGCAGTCAGCGTGAGGAGCATCTTCCTTGAGTTCGCCAGGAATGGTCTGAACCTTGGCAATGCAGTCGGCCATTCCCGAGCAATCCTCAAGGCGGACCTGGAACATGCTAAGGATGAGGATGGCAACTCCGATTGCAGTCTTGTTCATAAACCGATCCTGGAGATACTTCCAGATGGCGTTGGAGGTAGGGTAGTTATGGAATGTGTTGACAAGTTCTGGAGGGGTGGAGGCGATGAAGACACTGATAATTGCAGCATCGGCCTTCTCCCACTTCCGGTACTTCTCAACGGCTTCCTCATATGCCTTTGTGTCAGCCTCACTAGCGGATTCGGTCAGCTCGCGAGGGAGAAAGGGTTGTTTTCACTTGCCACGGTTGAGGAGGACAACCTTGAGGTCCAATCCCTGCACGTCACGGCTCAGCAGGTGCTTGTCAACCCCATAGCTCCATGCCTTGAAGTTGGAGCTAGAGCCATCGGCGTGAAGACAGAGTGGGGTGATGGGGTTGGCCATGGTGGACGAGGCGAATCTCATGATGGAGACCCCTTAGGGTGTCGCGCGGAGCGCCGCTCTTGAGTCAACGATAGGAACTTGAGGTTTGGGGTTTCCGAAGGAGATTTTGAAGAACTGGAGGTTTAGGGTTTACGAAAGAGAATTTTGAGGTTTAGGGTTTCTGAAGGAGAATTGGACTGAAACGCCAATTTAGTGTCAACTACCTACTAATCCTATTCCCACACACCCCCCCACACACCACCCTCAGCTTTCTCGGCTGCGCTGCTGCTCGGCTTCGCGGCTACACGGCTGCTCGGCTTCGCGGTTACACTGCTGCTCGGCTGCGCTGCTGCACCTGTTCAGCTGCGGGAAAGGGAGGGGGATGGGGGTAGGAGTGCAGATGCGGAGTGACGGGCGGCAGCCCGAAGGTGAAGCTGCAGGGCGACGGGCGGCGGCCCGACGAGAAGCTGCAGGGCGACGGGCGACAGCCCGACGAGGAGAAGGAATGACGCGATGATGTTCGACAAAAACGAGCGATAGGTTAAAGCGCCGACGATGCGCTTACCAGTGAGATAGTAGATGCTGTCGAGAGTGAAGGGAAGGTGGTGCGGAAGAATTTCCGCCCACGAATGTCGAGAATCAACGGGGACGAGATTGAAGGCGGTTACGCCGAGGTTTGCGGGACGAACATCCGCAGAGATAAGAGGATCACGATCCGCGTGTGCGGTTTGAAGGGCTCTGATACCATCTCATAACTTAGGCTTAGAAGCGATACATTAGTAATGAGCTTGAAGCTCTTTAAGTACCGTATTTTCCCGGATAAAACACCCCCCCGTAATTGTACACCCCCGGGTAGCTTATACGGGGTGGGTGTTATATCCGACCCCGTTAGTACTATACCCCCTTTTTGGGGTGATTCTCTATAACACCCCCCTTTTCTTATAGATTCCTAATATAGCTGTTATCGAGTCCGATTCCTTACGGGAGGATATCGCGAAAATCACTTCCTAGAAGAAAATTCGCATGTACTTTCACTTAGAATCAGCCGAGATATCCCCCCTTCCACAATCTCACTGTCGCCACGCTAGTGAATCCCAAAATCTCGCTGTCGCCACGCTGGCGAATCTTCCACTGCAAGTGGTCCAAGAGGTGAAGTGGCCCAAGTGGCCCACAATATCCTCGTACTCGGTTTTGCGGCATTGATCAACAATCTTGAAGTGAAGTCAGACCCCTGATTTTGTTTCACATCTTTTGTGTTTTATAAAAAATATACCATATCATAAGACTCGAGCATTATATAGGATTTTCCTTTGAGGAGACCCCCCCCCATTTTTTTCCAGTGGTTTTCATAATACCCTAGGGTGTTTTATCCGGGAGAATACGGTACATCCAAGAAGGGGAGGGAATGGATGGGGAAGGGAATCGGGGGCAATCCATAGGGATTGGGGGTAATCCCAAGGCAATCTCCAATTGGTGGGTTGGAGATTGCTTGCAGATTACATTTGGGTTTGGTTGGGATGTAGGTGTACACCCAACCAAACACAATGTGCAAACTACACTACTCTAGGATATAGAAAATACAAAGTACAAAGTGTGAGATTGAAGGCTAACACTAACAAGGGGTGCCTCGGCTGTAAGGGGTGCCTCTCCTATAAGGGGCGCCTCTCCTCAAAGAGGATCCTCTCCTCTAAGAGACTCCTGTCCTCTAAGAGGCGCCTCCCCTGTTAAGAGGCGCCTCTTCTCTAAGGGGCACTAAGAGGCGCCTCTCTGCTCCTCTGCGGTGTGACTCGGGCGCCACTCCTCTGTGGTGTGGTGTGACTCGGGCGCCTCTTCTCTGTGGTGTGACTCGGGCGCCACTCCTCTGTGGTGTGACTCGGGCGCCACTCCTCTGTGGTGTGACTCGGGCGCCACTCCTCTGTGGTGCGACTCGGGCGCCACTCCTCTGTGGTGTAACTCGGGCGCCACTCCTCTGTGGTGTGACTCGGGCGCCACTCCTCTGTGGTGTGACTCGGGTGCCACTCCTCTGTGGTGTGACTCGGGCGCCACTCCTCTGTGGTGTGACTCGGGCGCCACTCCTCTGTGGTGTGACTCGGGTGCCACTCCTCTGTCGTGTGACTGGGGCGCAACTCCTCTGTGGTGTGACTCGGGCGCCACTCCTCTGTGGTGTGACTCGGGCGCCACTCCTCAGTGGTGTGACTCGGGCGCCACTCCTCTGTGGTGTGACTCGGGCGCCACTCCTCTGTGGTGTGACTCAGGCGCCACTCCTCTGTGGCGTGACTCGGGCACCACTCCTCTGTGGCGTGACTCGGGCGCCACTCCTCTGTGGTGTGACTCGGGTGCCACTCCTCTGTGGTGTGACTCGGGCGCCACTCCTCTGTGGTGTGACTCGGGCGCCACTCCTCTGTGGTGTGACTCGGGCGCCACTCCTCTGTGGTGTGACTCGGCCGCCACTCCTCTGTGGTGTGACTCGGCCGCCACTCCTCTGTGGTGTGGTGTGACTTGGCCGCCACTCCTCTGTGGTGTGACTCGGGCGCCACTCCTCTGTGGTTTGACTCGGGCGCCACTCCTCTGTGGTGTGACTCGGCCGCCTCTCCTCTGTGGTGTGACTCGGGCGCCACTCCTCTGGTGTGACTCGGGCGCCACTCCTCTGTGGTGTGACTCGGGCGCCACTCCTCTGTGGTGTGACTCGGGCGCCACTCCTCTGTGGTGTGACTCGGGCGCCACTCCTCTGTGGTGTGACTTGGGCGCCACTCCTCTGTGGTGTGACTCGGGCGCCACTCCTCTGTGGCGCCTCCAAACTAAGAGGTGCCTCTCCTCTAGGAGGCGCCTCTCCTCTATGTGGCGCCTCTCCTCTAAGGGACACCGCTTGCATGCATCCCCTTGCATGCAACCCCTGCATGCAACTCCCCGCATGCAACCCCCACCTAATCCACTTTTTTAGTCCGTTCCCCTGTAACATTTTCTGTGCTAGTCTCCTCACCTGTCTCAACCTATTCTTCCGTTTGTCATGCTCTCTTTTGCCAAACCTCCCTGTCTGTCGCTGAACCCAAAAAGGCTCTAGCTCAGGACCAGCTGCGAGCACTGCATGCGTTGGTGGGTTGGGATGGGGGAGAAAACGGAGCAGATGATATGGGCGAGGGAAGTGGAACAATGCTGGGGGCTGGCAATATGACAGAAGCTGACGTGGCAGGGAGTGTGGGAGCTGATGTGGCAGGGGAGAGGCAGAAAAGTGATGTGTGTGGGGAGAGGGAGAGGAGTGCGGCGGGGCATGTGGCAGTAGAAGCGCAGTTGAGAAGCCTGGGAGAGGAGATGGCGATCTATGATGGTGACACACCCCATGCTGCTCGGCGGGCCATCCGAGGGCAGTCCCGCCTGGTGAGCCAATGTGTGTTGTGTGTGGGGCATGGCGCATGGTGCATGGTGCATGGTGCATGGTGCATGCCTGCTATGCTGTATAGTGTTGAGGTTTTGCCTGTCTCATTGTGCTTTCTCCTTCCCCAGCCGCTTCTGTTGTGCTCCTGGCATCCTCACCTCAGTTCACACACCCTACACCGCCTGCTGCACTCTGCTTCACAGATCCTTATCTCACGCGTATCAAATGCAGATCTTATCGAATCCCGACATGCTGCATGTCACCATGCTGCCTGGCCACCGGGACTTCATTCGTTTCCTCTCCAACCTGCGGTAAGCTCTTGGCCTTTCGATGTGACAAACACCTTTGCCTTCCCCTTTACTGACTTCAGTCTCATCCTGTTTCACAGCATGAATTTCCTTCGTACCTGCTGTTGCCCACATGTTTCGATTAGACTCATTCGACCTTTCCACCCCTTGACCCGTTTTCTCCATTGCGCGCTCTCCACACTGTTCTCCACATCTCTCCCAGCTTCGTGGTGGCGGACGAAGCTCATGCATACAGGGGCGCATTTGGACTCACTCTGTCTTCGTTCCACCCACCCCTTGCATGTCCCCCCTTTCAAATGGTCCGTTGTATTAATTCAGCAGGGGTACAGACATGCAGTTCTATCCATGATAACCTCAATCCCATAAGCCCATCAACTCACCCCTCTTCCCCTCCCCTCCCCCCTGAGTGACCCTCTAGCCCTCCAGTGTGTGGAGGATGTCCCCCAGGTGCAGCGGCCAGGGGTCCGCTGCCATCTGGGGGTGTGCTGCCTCAATCCCAGCCCTGGCCTTGGTGTGCAGGGCGTACGCCTGGGAGCGCTGGAGGGCCACTGACCAGCTTTCACCCCCTTTCCCTCTCTTTCATGCTGCCCAGCTTCGTGGTGGTGGACGAGGCGCATGCATACAGGGGCGCGTTTGGCTGCCATGCGGCTCTCATCTTCAGACGCTTGCGCCGCCTGTGTGCTCATGGTGGGTGGGTGTACTGATGATGGGTGAAAGGGATGGGCAGTCAGCTCTGTGCTCAGCTCACAATGTGTGGATGGGTGGGTGAGTGGGTGTGTGGGTAGGTGGGCGGCACATGCGTACAGGGACGCGTTTGGCTTCCATGCTGCTCTAATCTTCAGACGCATGCGCCGCCTGTGTGCTCATGGTGGGTGGGTGGGATCGGCAGTTGGCTGTGCGTTCACGGTTGTCGGGAAATTCGTGCTGTGGTAACATTGATGCAATGCATGGGCTCTGCATAATGTGTGCATGACTTTTGCAGTTTGGTATGCGTTGCTTCAGCCTGGCATGATACGGCTGGCATGCCGTTGCATCATTTCCACTCCTGCAAACCTCCCCTTCCCCCTGCCCTTGGCCCCCTCCTTGATCCACCACCATCCCCTTTCCTCCATCCTCCCAAACCAGTCTACGGCTCAGATCCGATCTTCATAGTGTGCTCTGCCACGTGTGCGGATCCCAAGGACCATGTGCGATCCCTGCTGGGTGTGGACGAGGTGACAGTGGTGGATGGCAGTGACGATGGCAGCCCCTGTGGTCGCAAGAGCTTTGTGCTCTGGAACCCGCCCATCACCTTGCCGCCTGTGAGCAACCCCCTCTTGACCCCCACCCCAAGGATCTCAGGTAGTACCGTAATAGGGACCGCACCCCCTCTTCACCCCGCCTCTGCGGCGCGGCTCAAGGAGGCACATGCCGCAGGTGCGTTGGAACTGCAGGTGCGTTGGGACTGCAGGTGCGTTGGTTGGGACTGCAGGTGCGTTGGTTGGGACTGCAGGTGCGTTGGTTGGGACTGCAGGTGCGTTGGTTGGGACTGCAGGTGCGTTGGTTGGGACTGCAGGTGCGTTGGTTGGGACTGCAGGTGCGTTGGGACTGCAGGTGCCTTGGGACTGCAGGTGCGGTGGGACTGCAGGTGCGGTGGGACTGCAGGTGCGGTGGGACTGCAGGTGCGGTGGGACTACACAATCCCTCTCAACCGACGCAATCTTACACTCTCTTTTTTTATCCTGTCACTCCCTCCCAGGCTGCCAGGCCTCTGCGCCGCAGCTCTCGAAGGCAGACGCCGCAGCTGCTGCAACCAGCTGCTGCATGCGCACACGTGATGATGGCCAAGCGAGCCAGGTGAGGCCAAGCGAGCCAGGTGAGGCCAAACGAGCGAGGTGAGGCCAGGGGGATGCGCCACATGAATTCCACTAATGTTGATTTGTAAGGCCACGTGACTAGCTAAGCTGTATTGCCTCTTGTTGCTCGCAAATTGTGCATGGTGCCACGTGCCCAGTCTGGCACGGCAAGGAATACGGATTCTGGGAGAGCTTCGAGGGGGGCGGAAAGCATGAGAGGAGCTGCGGGTTGCTTGCAGCAAGCACATCGTGTCCTCCTGCCGCCTTGCTCCACTTGCCACTCCATCCTCTTCCCAGGCCAGCCCCATAGTGGAGGTGGCGCTACTGCTGGCAGAGGTGGTGGTACAGCACAACACTCGGTGCTCTGCTCCTCTCCATAACCTCTTCTTCCTCTCCTCGCCCACTCTCACGATCCTTCGCTTCCCTTCCCTTCCATCGTTTCCCCATCCCCTCACCAGCCCCATAGTGGAGTTGTCGCTACTACTAGCTGAGATGGTGCAGCACGACTTGCGCTGCCTGGCCTTCTGCAAGACAAGGAAGCTGTCAGAGCTCGTCCTCACATACACGTGAGATTCTCCTCCCGTTTGCCCATACTATGCTAAACTTCGGAGTTCTCGAAAGCGACTGTTGTATAGCTGTCTAAGCTCCTCCCCTTCCTTTCCCACACCCTGCCATCTGCCATCCCCTACGGCCATGGGTCCACACCACACACCAGCAAGGAGGTGTTGCGGGAGAGAGCACCGCATTTGGTGGACACAGTGCTGCCAAGCCTTTACCACCCGCCTCATCCCTGCCGCTTCCCCTCCCCTTCCCATGCCGTGCCGTGTCCCACCGCCCATTTCATGCCTGTGGTGTGCCATCTCCCATTCTGCCACGCCCATGGGTCCACACCACACACCAGCAAGGAGGTGCTGCGGGAGAGAGCACCCCATCTGGTGGACACAGTGCTGGCATACCGTGCCATTGCCACCCACCCACCCACCCTATGCCTGCTGCTTCCCCGCCCCTTGTGCCATTCCTTACTGCCCCTGGGCCCACCAGCAAGGAGGTGCTGCGGGAGAGAGCGCCCCATCTGGTGAACACTGTGCTGGCATACCGTGCCGGGTACACTGCTCAGGTCAGCCACTTACCATGCTGTTGCTCGCCACGACCTCTCCCTCCCTCCCGCATTTCCGCTCTTGCCTTGTGACTTTGTCGGCCCTGCCTTGACGCGCTTCCACTCCTCCCCTCCGTGCCCTTGCATGCCATGAGCTGCCTGTTGCCTGCCGCTACTGCACTCGCGCTCCTCTGAGGGAGAACCCTCACAGGATAGCTGAGGTGGTGCTGTTGCTGATGCACACCGCCAGCCTCTGGCAGCAGGCCGGCCGGGCACGGCTGGCCAGGGCAGGCCGCAGGGCAGGCCGCAGGGCAGGCTGCAGGGCAGGCCGCAGGGCAGGCTGCAGGGTGCAGGGCTCACACAAGCCATTCTCCATGCCCACTCCTGCCCCTCAACCCCCCAACACATCCCATCAGGACCGGCGGCGCATAGAGAGGGAGCTGTTTCACGGGCGTCTCCGTGCCGTGGCAGCAACAAGTGCTCTCGAGCTAGGAGTGGACGTGGGGGCTCTCGACGCCACCCTCCACCTCGGCTTCCACGGCTCCACCGCCAGCCTCTGGCAGCAGGCCGGCCGGGCAGGCCAGGGCAGGGTGCAGGGTAGGCTGCAGGGTGCCCACTCCTGCCCACTCCACGCAGGGTGTTGGCTCACACAAGCCATTCTCCTTGCCCACTCCTCCCCCCTCTCACTTTCCCCCCTCCCATATCAGGACCGGCGGCACATAGAGCGGGAGCTGTTTCACGGGCGTCTCCGTGCCGTGGCAGCAACAAGTGCTCTCGAGCTCGGAGTGGACGTGGGGGCTCTCGACGCCACCCTGCACCTCGGCTTCCATGGCTCCACCGCCAGCCTCTGGCAGCAGGCCGGCCGGGCAGGCCGCCGGGAAAAGGCCTCTCTCTCCATCTACGTTGCCTTTGATGGGCCTCTCGATCAGTACTTCATGGCGGCTCCTGAGAGGCTGTTCTCTCGGCCAATCGAGCGCTGCCAGCTGGACGCAGAGAATCCCCTGGTGATGCGGCAGCAGCTGCAGTGCGCTGCGGCGGAGCTGCCGCTGCTGGAGGATGTGGATGGGAGGTTCTTTGGCCCGTCATTGGCCGAGAGGATTGCTGAGCTGGCAGGGAAGGGCGTGCTCGGGAGGAGCCCGGAGAATCCCGAGGTGGACCGTAGTTGGAGGTACATTGGGGAGGGGAGGCGGCCGGCGCAGTTTGTCCCGGTGCGGGCGATCGACCCAAACACGTATGCGGTGGTGGAGACGAGGACAGGGAGGGTACTGGAGGAGATTGAAGAGAGCAAGGCCTTCTTTGTGGTAGGTGTCTGCGGGTATGGGTCATGCTGTGTGTCGTGCGGTGCATGTGGAAGAGTAGAGTGCAAGGGCTTTCTTTCCATCTCCAATGCTGTTGCGTTATGCATGCTGCATACCTCCAGCCACAAACTCCCAGCCACACACTCCCAGCCACACACTCCGACACACTCCCAGCCACACACTCCTAGCCACACATTTACATTCATTCTCCCCCATCCCCCCATGTGCAGCTGTACGAGGGTGCAGTGTACCTGCAGCAGGGGCGAACCTTCCTGGTGACTTCCCTGGATCTGGAGAAGCGGGAGGCACGGTGTGTGCGAGCGGATGTGCGGTATTACACCAAGACGATTGACATGGTCACTGTGACAATAAAGGGGGGCACTCTGGTGAGCACATGGGCAGCAGATTCTTTTTTATGAAGACCAAGCACCATCGAATTGACATGTCTCCTTTGTCTTCTCAATCGGCAGGCTTTTCCATACCCACACATGCCATCAGCAAAGCCTGCTTCAGCTCCTACTGATATGATGTCAGCACACACAGTGCTCAACGAGGCGATGACCTCAGCAGCACATGCAGCAGCACCCTCTGAGCCAATGACGTCAGCACACGTGGCAAAAGGCAGTGTGCTGACAACAGCACAGACAGCGCCGTGTGAGGTGACGGCTCGGTGGACTGGTTACCGCAAGATGTGGCGCGGGTCAGGAGAGCCGTTTGAAACGGTTGAGATGACACTGCCAGATGTAACGTACGCCACCCAGGTGAGTCAGTTGACATGACACCACCTGGTGGTAACGATGACAGATACGTGATTCGCTGGTGGTCACGTGTCCCTATATTGTTTCAGTACAGACGCACATTATCATTTCCTGGCTCAGCAGTCACTGCAGTCGCTCACTCGCATGCTGCGTTTCCTCATGCTCGGCATTCAAACCGTCTCCGTCTCACTCGCACTTGCATCTGTGGGGGCGTGGGGCGGGCAGGCAGTGTGGGTGGGCGTGGCGGGCGGGACAAAGGCGGCAGTGGAGGCAGCAGGAAGTGACTACCGTGCCAGTCTGCATGCTGCCGCTCATGCCCTCGCCAACATGGTGCCCCTGTGAGTGGCACTGTTCACCCATGCATCAGCACGCCTAAAAATCAACGCATGGATTCTTTCATCAACGCGTAACAACAGTTGGTTAACGTGGGATGGGATACCACCGCTCACATGGTGCCACGGAAAGTAACATAAACAACAAGCGCACTTCGCTCCTCACATGCCCGTCTACTACTCTCAACGAGGGGGAGAATTCTCACTACATTCTCCCTCACTCCAACCCTCCCTCCCTGCCACCTTTCCTCCGCTCCCCTCACTTCGCCTGCATGACATTAGACATAGCACTGCGCCACCTTCCCTTCTTCTGCTCCATCTGTCCATTGCCCCTTTTCTCATCCCCTCGCACTTCTGCCTGCATGCCATCCACCCGTGCAGCTTCCTCGCCTGCATGGCATCAGACTGCGTTTCCCTTCTCTGCCCTCCATCTGCTCCCTCTATTCACCGCACCTTCTCGGATGAGATTCAACCCCGGATTAAGGTTCACCGGGGGATGAAGATTCACCCCTGGATGAAGGTTCACCCCCGGATCAGTTCAACCCCGGATTAAGATTCACCCTCGGATTAAGGTTCACCCCCGGATGAAGGTTCACCGGGGGATGAAGGTTCACACCCGGATGAAGGTTCACCCCCGGATGAAGGTTCACCCCCAAATGAAGGTTCACTCCAGGATGAAGGTTCACCCCCGGATTAAGGTTCACCCCCGGATGAAGGTTCACCCCGGGATGAAGGTCCACCCCCAGATGAAGGTTCACCCCCGGATGAAGGTTCACCCCCGGATGAAGGTTCACCCCCGGATGAAGGTTCACCGGGGGATGAAGGTTCACACCCGGATGAAGGTTCACACCCGGATGAAGGTTCACCCCCGAATGAAGGTTCACTCCAGGATGAAGGTTCACCCCCGGATTAAGGTTCACCCCCGGATGAAGGTCCACCCCCGGATGAAGGTTCACCCCTGGATTAAGGTTCACCCCCGGATGAAGGTTCACCGGGGGATGAAGGTTCACCGGGGGATGAAGGTTCACCCCCGGATGAAGGTTCACCCCCGGATGAAGGTTCACCCCCAGATGAAGGTTCACCCCCGGATGAAGGTTCACTCCCGGATTAAGGTTCACCCCCGGATGAAGGTTCACCCCTGGATTAAGGTCCACCCCCGGATGAAGGTTCACCCCTGGATTAAGGTTCACCCCCGGATGAAGGTTCACCGGGGGATGAAGGTTCACCCCCGGATGAAGGTTCACCCCCGGATGAAGGTTCACCGGGGGATGAAGGTTCACCCCCGGATGAAGGTTCACCCCGGATGAAGGTTCACCCCCGGATGAAGGTTCACCCCCGAATTAAGGTTCACCCCCAGATGAAGGTTCACCCCCGGATGAAGGTCCACCCCCGGATGAAGGTTCACCCCTGGATTAAGGTTCACCCCCGGATGAAGGTTCACCGGGGGATGAAGGTTCACCCCCGGATGAAGGTTCACCCCCGGATGAAGGTTCACCCCCGGATGAAGGTTCACCCCCAGATGAAGGTTCACTCCCGGATTAAGGTTCACCCCCGGATGAAGGTCCACCCCCGGATGAAGGTTCACCCCTGGATTAAGGTTCACCCCAGGATGAAGGTTCACCGGGGGATGAAGGTTCACCCCCGGATGAAGGTTCACCCCCGGATGAAGGTTCACCCCCGGATGAAGGTTCACCGGGGGATGAAGGTTCACCCCCGGATGAAGGTTCACCCCGGATGAAGGTTCACCCCCGGATGAAGGTTCACCCCCGGATTAAGGTTCACCCCCGGATGAAGGTTCACCCCCGGATGAAGGTTCACCCCCAGATGAAGGTTCACCCCCGGATTAAGGTTCACCCCCGGATGAAGGTCCACCCCCAGATGAAGGTTCACCCCTGGATTAAGGTTCACCCCCGGATGAAGGTTCACCGGGGGATGAAGGTTCACCCCCGGATGAAGGTTCACCCCCAGATGAAGGTTCACCCCCGGATTTAGGTTCACCCCCAGATGAATCTTCACCCCCGGATGAAGGTTCACCGGGGGATGAAGGTTCACCCCCGGATGAAGGTTCACCCCCAGATGAAGGTTCACCCCCGGATTTAGGTTCACCCCCAGATGAATCTTCACCCCCGGATGAAGGTTCACCCCCGGATGAAGGTTCACCTCCGGATGAAGGTTCACCCCCGGATCAGTTCACCCCCCAATTAAGGTTCACCCCTGGATTAAGGTTCACCCCCGGATGAAGGTTCACCGGGGGATGAAGGTTCACACCCGGATGAAGGTTCACCCCCGGATGAAGGTTCACCCCCGAATGAAGGTTCACTCCAGGATGAAGGTTCACCCCCGGATGAAGGTTCACCCCCGGATTAAGGTTCATCCCCGGATGAAGGTTCACCCCCCGGATGAAGGTTCACCTCCGGATTAAGGTTCATCCCCGGATGAAGGCTCACCCCCGGATGAAGGTTCACCCCCGGATGAAGGTTCACCCCCGGATGAAGGTTCACCCCCGGATGAAGGTTCACCGGGGGATGAAGGTTCACCCCCGGATCAGTTCACCCCCCGGATTAAGGTTCACTCCCGGATGAAGGTTCACCCCCGGATGAAGGTTCACCCCCGGATGAAGGTTCACCCCCGGATGAAGGTTCACCGGGGGATGAAGGTTCACCCCCGGATCAGTTCACCCCCCGGATTAAGGTTCACTCCCGGATGAAGGTTCACCCCCGGATGAAGGTTCACCCCCGGATTAAGGTTCACCCCCGGATGAAGGTTCACCCCCGGATGAAGATTCACCCCCGGATGAAGGTTCACCCCCGGATGAAGATTCACCCCCGGATGAAGATTCACCCCCCGGATTAAGGTTCACCCCCAGATGAAGGTTCACCCCCGGATGAAGGTTCACCCCCGGATGAAGGTTCACCCACGGATGAAGGTTCACCCCCGGATGAAGGTTCACCCCCGGATGAAGGTTCACCCCCGGATGAAGGTTCACCCCCGGATGAAGGTTCACCCCCGGATGAAGGTTCACCCCCCGGATGAAGGTTCAACCCCGGATGAAGATTCACCCCCCGGATTAAGGTTCACCCCCGGATGAAGGTTCACCCCCGGATTAACCTTGCCCTTCCGCCTGCATGGCATTCACCCATCCAGCTTCCTAGCCTGCATGGTATCGGACATGGTGGTGGGCTGCGCATCGCCCTATGAATCCTTCTCTCCGTCTGCCACTCTCTCATCCCTCATCGCTGCTCCCATCTCTTGTCCACCTGTCCAGCTTCCTATCCTGCATGGCATCGGACATGGGAGTGGAGTGTGCATCGCCCTACGACTCGCGCTTCTTCCCCCAGCGCCTCCTGCTCTACGACAAGCACCCGGGAGGGATAGGCTTGGCGGTGCAGGTATGTCCGATAGGCAGAGGGGAAGATACTCCATTTATCCACCGCCCCTGCTTTCACCGCTCACCCTACGACTCGTGCTTCTTCCCCCAGCGCCTCCTGCTCTACGACAGGCACCCGGGAGAGATAGGCTTGGCGGTGCAGGTATGTCCGATAGGCAGAGGGGAAGATACTCCTTCTATCCACCGCCCCTGCTTTCACCGCTCGCCGAACGACTCGCGCTTCTTCCCCCAGCGCCTCCTGCTCTACGTCAAGCACCCGGGCGGGATAGGTCTGGCAGGGCAGGTATGACTGCCTGGGACCTGGGGAAATCAGTCCTGGATGTGTGATTGGAGGTGGTAGTATGGATATGTGAACCGCCTGCAATCGCACCTCCAGGGCCTTGTGAACTTGCTGACTTGCTAGCTCAGCCTTGCATCTGGTCATTTATCGAATGTTGTCATGCGGGCCCAGGTTTCGAATCACTTTGATCTTCCTGCCTCCTCCCTGCTCTTGTCATCTCTTTTTTCTTTCAGCTGCAGCCTCAGTTCCCTGCAATTCTCCAAGCTGCACTGGAGCTGGTTTCCAAGTGCCAATGTAACATGCCCAATGGCTGCCCTGGCTGTGTACATGTAAGTCAAACGGTCTTTTTTTTTTTTTCTTTTATCGAGTGTATTCTTGTAGAACTCACATGCAGTATCATTTTTGTGTTTGCTGTTTGTGCACATTATTAGTGATGTAACCGTTTTCAATTCTTGCCATCCACCCAAACAACGTTTCCCAACATCATCCGGAAACATGCAGTTTCTAGCGTGTGGAGAGTATAATGGCGTGCTGGACAAAAGAGGAGCTCAACTAATCTTGAAGGTGCAATGAAACTTTTTGGATCCACCATTTGTAAATCATTTCAGCATTGTTGTCAATTTCTGACATTTCCTTATAAAGTTGCGCATGTGCAGATGGCAGTGGATTCAGAAAATGAGTTTCTGAGGGACATGGGAGTCCCCTTGTCGCAGCATTCTGGTGGCTTTTTCAAAAAGGGAAAACTGTGATTTGTGTATTTCCATGTATAGCATTGTGATTCAGATCGCGGTGTAACGACGACCTTCCCATATCGCACGACCTGGAACCTGAAACTGGTGGCTTGGTGGTGGACCTGCTGTCGGTTTCTCGTGTTTCTTGATGACTTAGGGCGTATCCAACTTCGGGTCATCAGCACTGTTCATTCAACTGTTTGGGGCATCCGCAAATCACGCATGCCCCGAACTCAACACCGGAACCGCGCGCGGTTCGAACTTCGGGTCATCCTGCAACCTGCATGCGACCGTCACTCCCAATGTGACCGCCACCAATCAGAAACAAGTGCGACCCCATGTTAGGTCCCCCTCTTTTGACGTACGTCCTACAGCATTCACGCCCGGCAATTTCACCAACACCATCCCTGCGTGTAGCACAATTCTGTTTCTGCCGTCTTGTGAAACCCTTGGGTGAGAGTGTGTGGTTGGGATGGGTTTCGGAGGCGCGCAGATCCAAATGTTCCATTACCGCCGGGAATTTTGACGGATGGGTTGGTGGGGTGAGTGTCGCGCAACCGGGTGAAAGGGATCGCATGGCATGAAGGCGGGCGCACCTATTGGTTGGAGCAACTTTTGGCTCTGGTTTTTTGGCGGGACAACGAACGTGCCTTTTTTAGGGTCGCACGATGATCTATGGCCCAAAGTGGTGTTTTATGTAGTTCGGGGCATCCTCAAATTGCGGATGCCCCGAACAGTGCTGATGACCCGAACCTGGATACGCCCTTACATCCGTCCCCCTAAATTTGGGGGTCTTGTCCTGAAGCTTTTACCGGCGTGCCCATCGCAGCCAATGGGTTGTCGCGTTGGTTCTGACAACGCTGACCAGACGAGAAAGGCGAAATTGTAACTCGATATCGACAGCGTCTCAGCGAGCGAAGTCAGCACGGCCTCCCCCAGCAGCACCGTACAGCACAATGCAGCCAGTCAAACCTTGAATTTGCCAGTCTCTCCAACTTGTTGCCAACAACCAACAACGGCCAGGAAAGCCTGTAAACTTCTCCCATTTCCAGCAATACCGTACCCACTCGCACATTAACGCCTTATAACGTAAAGCACCATACTGAGCCGCATTCAAAAGCTTTTGAAACACACCGACCAGCGAACCAGAAAGCACCAGTGGGCATACAGGCTGTCGGCCATCTCATCGTCCTCCTGTCCACGTATCTTAAAAAATTATACGTGTGCTTGCGATGTGATTGAACGTTGGCTCGAGATGAAGCCTAGCCGAAGCGTGGGCTACCAGCATGCCTCCCCCACAGACAGCACATCTCCCGCAACCCTGTATTAGTGCTCCTTATGAATTGAGTCGTTCCTTATGACTCTCCGAAGCAAGATCGTGAATAGGCTGCATTTTGCCGTTGCTTGCAGACTTACTTTGCGCTGAATGTGTTTTCATTGAGTTGCGCGTTCTTGCGGTCTTCTTAGCTTGCAGACGAAGACACCGGAGTGAACATGCAGGAATTGGGTTTCCTGGCTCGAATCTTAATGTACGTGCGTGCTGAGATGCTCCGTCGTTATGCTGCTGCACCATTCAGAATTATTAGTGATTAAGACTCAGACCGTAACGGCATCATATCAAAGCCCAGTGGGTGATCGCGGAATTCCTTTTCCCCGAAGCGATTTTTTAGAGAAACGTTCAAGTGTTCGCAAGGTTTTGTGTCAATGGATAATGCAGCTGATGATAGCCGTCCGATCAATCAGATTGAAGACTCCTCAGAACACCATAATGCACTCCAAGAGTCTCTGCGTCAGCGAAGTCGTTCCATAGACACCGAAGCAGAGCCAGATTCGCACCGTTCCGACACGAGTCGACTCGATAATCCCCCAGATCTGCGTCGTTCCCTCTCGGACGGATCTCCTCGCCAGGCTCCAGTTGTTCCTACCAACAGATCTCCCGATTGTGTCGGGTCGGCAAGACGACAGGACGCTCCTGTCGGTTCCACTGACAACGCTGACATGGATCGTTGTGGCTCTCCTCCGAGTCAGAATCAAGACTTCCTGTCATCCGCTCAGGCCTCGCCATTCGATCGAAAACCCCGACATTGTAATGGATCTCCAGCCAGGCCCGGTGGGTCTCCAGCCAGGCCCGGTGGATCTCCAGCCAGGCCCGGTGGGTCTCCAACCAGGCCCGGTGGATCTCCAACCAGGCCCGGTGGATCTCCAGCCAGGCCCGGTGGGTCTCCAACCAGATTCCATGAATTCCCAGCCAGACTCGGTGAAACCTCAACCAGGCTCCACGATTTACCAGCCAGAGCTGGTGGGTCTCCACCCAGGCTCCATGATCTACCAGCCAGACCCCAAACCTGCTCGTACGCTTCTCCGCACACCGCAGCCGCTGCCCATGAAGATTTGCCCGACCGCCAATCGCCTGATCAGGCCTTTTCAGATCCGAGATCGCCTGACCAAGGATTGTCTGAACGAGAATCGCATGATAGAGTATCAAATGACGGAGAGTTGTCGTTTGGTCGAGAATCGGCTATTTGTAGATCTCCTGATAGAGAATCGTCGCCTGATCAAGACTCTTTGTTTCAGCCGAGTCGTAATGGCGCACAAGTGTTGACGGGACGCACCGAGGCTTGTAATAGGGGACATTACTATACCGAGGGTTATCCAACAGATGATCAACAAACGGAGAGTTACCGTAAGGAGGGTTACCGAACTGAGGACGATTGCACCGGTGACTCTCGCAAGGAGGATTATCGCACGGATGGCTCTCGTACGGAGGACACTCGTACGGACGTACCAAGTGACCGGATCACTCACAGATTCCCTGATCGCACGTATGGGATCCTGCAGCGCGCCGATGGGTTCCTGCAGCGCGCGCAGCTGTTGCTGCAGAGCCTCGCGAGCCGCAGCCGGTGGTGGTGGGTGCAGCGGCGACGAGTCGCCGCGTTTGTGATCCAGAGGAAGGTCGCCTGGGCTGCTGCGGCCACGCGGCCGTGGACTCAGACGGGGAAGAGCCGACACCGCCGCCGATTGGGAAGCGGAATGGGAGGCGGAGGGGGAGGGGGAGGGGGAGGGGGAGCGGGAGGGGGAGCGGGAGGAGGGGGAAAGGGCGCGAGTGTAAACAGGGTACTGGCCGCACTGGCGGTGGTTCTCTTTGTGGTGAATTTCATCCTGCTCTCCTCGCGCATGGACGGGGCTGCGCGGAGCAAGCAGGCGCGCGGGGTTCATGGCACGGGGGCGCGGAGCGAGCGCCAGGCGGAGAACGAGGAGGCGGAGGAGGGAGGGTTTGCGGATGTGACCGCGAATGCTCACGTCCGCCCTGGGTACGGACGGCCACTGCTCCCACTCACTGTCACAGCCGCACTATCTCACTCACTGTCACAGCCGCACTATCTCACTCACTGTCACAGCCGCACTATCTCACTCACTGTCACAGCCGCACTATCTCACTCACTGTCACAGCCGCACTATCTCACTCACTGTCACAGCCGCACTATCTCACTCACTGTCACAGCCGCACTATCTCACCCACACACTCCCTCAATGCGTCCCTTGGCCTGTTGAAGCTTCCAGAACCTTCAAAAAAGCGTCTCGAACTCTCATAAGGCATTTGGCAACTTCGCCATGCCCTGCTCGAGTTTCCCATCTCTTCACGCTTCCGCTCACGGTCCAGAACCCCCTTGTACGGCCCCCTTTCCCCCCTCCCCCCACCCCTTCTACTCCCCACTGCGCGACAGGGCCGGATCAGGCGGGCATGGGCGCGAGGAGTGGTACAGGCGAGGGCTGCACACCCTCCCAGGCTCCCCCCCTCGCCCCAAATGGAATGCCTCTGACGATTCCTTCCTCAACTCCCTCGTATGGCCCTCACTCTCTTCCTGTACATTCACCCTGCACACTCACCCTCCACTTTTGAGACGCCTCAAAAGTATTCTCCCCCTCGCCCGAAATGGAACGCCTCTGATGACTCCCTTCTCAACTCCCTCGTATGGCCCTCACTCTCACCATGCCCACTCGCCCTGCTCACTCGCATCGTGACATCCCGTCTGCATTCCCCCCCTTGCCCCAAATGGAACGCCTCTGATGACTCCTCCTCAACTCCCTCATATGGTCCTCACTCTCACCATGCCCACTCGCTCTGCTCACTCGCATCGTGACATCCTGTCTGCATGACCCCCCTCCCCCTCGCCCGAAATGGAACGCCTCTGATGACTCCCTTCTCAACTCCCTCGTATGGCCCTCGCCCTCACTCTACACATTCCCATGAGCACTCGCTCTACACACTTGCACTTT